AAAATAAAATAAAAAAATAAAACAGATATCCCAGACCCCAAGAGCTTTCCCCAGCTCAGACCCATTGTTCACGATGCAATTGGCAAGCGGGGGTCAAAATCGTTCAGTGCACCTCCCATAGCTGGTAAAAACTTTTCCATACCATGGAATCTGCCATGGTTAGATCTGCACACCCGCTTCACCATCTAATAGTCATGATGCTGGGCAACTAAATCAGCTGACCTCTCCCAGCTTCGGTTTTCCCTGCTGTAAAATGGGCATTAGTGTTGTGAGAGTTACAAGCATTACCATGTGCAGGTGTTGAGCCCAGAGAGGTTCAGCCTATGAGTTTCCTTTCTCTTAGATTGATATTTAGGGACATCCACAATCTGGATCCGACCCGTGTCTCTAACCTTATTTTCCATGACTCTTCATACAAAATCCACCTGCAGATTTAGTGTCTCATTCCCATCCCGTCCCTGCCTCTGATCCTTGCTTCCCCGCAAGGAATTAACTCCACTTATCTGAGCCAGCATAGGGATTGAGAGGGCGGCTCAAACAGACCCAGCTTTGAACTCTCGCCTTTCTGAACCTTAGTTAACTTCACTTGTAAAATGAGTTCATACTCTGACTCAATGGGAAAATCTCTGCCAAGTTCTTAGCACGGATTCTCAGGACACTTGCCAGTCTGGGGGTGGGAGCCCAGATCTGTCCCTGAGCACCACCTCGGCTGAGTTGAAAAGGTCACACAGGAAACTACCATCGTTGGTATTTTCCAAAGCATCTTCCAGGAAATACTAGTTCTTAAGATAGTGATCGGTGTTACCGGGAAGAAGGTCTCGATGTCACACGGGTAAGGGAATTATGGGTCCGACGGAGCTACAGTTTGCTGACCGCAGGGTTCTACGGAGCCTTGATTGCTTATATGTATTGCGAGTTTCTAAAGGGTGACAATAATTTACATAATTCTCCCAACCAGTTAGCCACAGAATGCTTTTGAATGCCCACTGGCCCCACCACACAAGGATTAAGTGTTCTGCAAAACTCACCAAGAAAATAATGGTCTAAGTAAGCCTGAGCATAAAGGTTAATGGCTCATTCAATATTTGCTTTCCTCTTCGATGGAAACAGGATATGCTAGAAGTCAGTTGCTCTGATAGCCATAAGGCTGGGAGCTAAGAATTTCATTTACTTTTGGCTTTCTGAAGCTCCACTGATCTACCAGAGTTAATGGAATAAAAATCATGACTCGAGGGTTTAAGGCTGGGTCCTTCCTTCAGGGTGCCTCACGCTGATTCATGCCTGCTTCCTGGTCCCCCTGAAGGTTCCCAGCACTCAGCTCCCACCTGGCCCAGACTTCTGATGTACCACTTGAACTTCTCACTTGGTATCGAATCCAGCACGTCCTACCTTGCTCTGCTCGGGCATGTGTGTTCTGTTAGACCTTCTGGCTGGCCTTTGTCCCTGGTTCCTGGGAGGTGGACTCTAAGTCCTTAGAATTTTCCTTGTGATAGTGGTGCCTGCGATTCCTGACAAGCCTCTCAGAACGCGCCTGTTTTATGCTAACACAGCGCATCAGAAATAGGGGCAGGCCGTGGCAGAAAGACCGGCCGTGTGGTTCGAAGTTTGGGGCTTTGGCCCATGTGATGTCAGCCTCACTTCTGGGGGTGAGAGGGGGACTGGAGATTGACTGACGACCGAGATTCAAGGAATCCTACCTCTGTAAAGAAGCCCCAGTAAAAACCACGGACACCGAAGCTTGGTGGGTCCCCCGACGGGCAATACTCCACGTACAATCACACATCCCTGTGCTGAGAGCCTGCTGGGTTCTGAGCCCACGGGGCTGGGGGAGCACGTGACCCTCCACCTAGGACCCCCCCCCCCTCAGAACTCGTCCCATGCGTCTTCTCTCCTGGCTGATTCTGAGTTGTATTCTTTGGCTATAAGAAAACCGTCATCAGGGCGCCTGGGTGGCTCAGTCGGTTGAGCGTCCAACTTCGGCCCAGGTCATGATCTCGCGGTTCGTGGGTACGAGCCCCGTGTTGGGCTCTGTGCTGACAGCTCAGAGCCTGGAGCCTATTTCGGATTCTGTCTCCCTCTCTCTCTGCCCCTCCCCTTCTCAGGCTGTCTCTCTCTCTCTCAGAAATAAATAAAACATTAAAAAAAAAAAAGAAAGCAAGAAAACCGTCATCGTTAAGTATGGCACTTGGTTCTGGGTCGAAGAATCGTTCTAGTGAAGTATTGAGCCTGTGGGGTCAGGGGGGAGCCCCAAATTTGCAGCCAGTTGGTCAGAAGTGAGGGTGGCCTTGGGGGGTCTGAAGTGAATTAGGGGCAGCTGTGTGCCCCTAACTAGGGGAATTTGGCCTAACTTGGAGGAGGCTGGTGTCAGAAGCCTCTGAGATGATGCTGAGTGAAAGAAGCCAGACAAAAACTAATGCGTACCATAGTCTTTACAAATGCAAACCGGGGGCACCTGAGTGGTTCAGTCAGTTGAGTGATCATCTGACTTTGGCTCAGGTCATGATCTCGGGGCTCCTAGGTTCAAACCCTGCGTCAGGCTGCGTGCTGGCAGCTCAGAGCTTGGAGCCTGTTTCGGATTCCGTGTCTCCGTCTCTCTCTCTCTGCCCCTCCCCTCCATTCCCCTCTCAAAAATTAATAAACATTAAAAAGAAATAAAAGTGCAATTACCAGTTCATTAAAAAAAAGAAAAGACAAAAAAATGCAAACCAACAGAGTGACAGAAAACAGCTCCGTGGCTGTTTAGGACCAGGGTGGAGGAAAGTTTGGGGGGGATGCAGATGCTATCTTGAATGTGGTGATGATTTCATAGGTGTATATATAGATATATGTCGACATGTATCAAATTGTACCATTTAAATGTATGCACTTTATTATATGTAAATACTTCAATAAAGCTAATTAAAAAAAAAAAAAAAGCTCAGCATAGGCCTCACCTGTCATGACCTTCTTGAGAACCTTCCATGGTTTACCCCAAGTGTACAGAATCCGGGTGGCAGAAGGTGCCTTCCCAGACTCACCTATTAGCGCTGCTACACAAATGATGTTATTTCTTGCCACTTCCCCCAAGTGGACCCCCTGCGTTTGCCACCTCAGTAACTTCATTTGTCTGTTCCCTCTTCCTAGAATGCCCTTCCCCAAATTACCACCCTCTCTCTCTACCTGTTAGGCTTACTGATCTTTCAAGCTTAGCTTATATGTCGTCTCCACGAAATTCTTTGAGTTCTTGAGTCAGAAATGATCTGCCCCTTTCCTCACTCCTGTGATGCCTTTTCCACAATGTCCTGTGTGCTATAGGCACATGTGTGTTTGTGTGTGTGTGTGTGTGTGTGTGTGTGTGTGTATGTAAACCTCCCGGTGAGACCATGAGCTTCTCGAGGGTAGGGACTCTGCATGTCACTCATTCCTGTGTTCCCCGTGACAAGTAGCATACTTCTTTACAAAAGGGGATGGCCGCATATTAACTAAACAGTCCAAACACAGAATTCTCAGTATCTTTCCCGTGTAATCTTTCAGATCTTTAAACCATCACATCACTCAGCTTCCTTCTCCACTTTCTCCTCCTCCTTTCTTCAGACTAAGTCACTAACTAACTAACTTCTTTCTTAAGCCAGGTGCGGTTCCTCATCTTTTGTTTACATTCGGGGAAACACACCTGTGTTTGTATTTTGGTCTTACTCTCTGTTCTGTCTGCATAGCCAGTTCCGTCTTCTCTCTGGTAGATTTCAAGCGAGAGCTGCCTTCAATCTTCATATTGAATTTCCCTCCTGCCCACTGCCCTCCTTAGCCACTCAGCACAGTCACTAAAGTCTCAGGCTCTGGTGCCCCCAGGCTGGATCTGAGTCACACTTCCGACAGGCTCCCTGGCCGTCAGCTTTGTCATCTGTAAGCTGGAGGTGGGGACAGTGGCCGCATCCTGAGATCGCTTGGAGGATTAAGCGAGCCAGAGCCAGCAGGTCAAGTGTTGAGAACAGTGCCCACTGCATAGCTCAATAGAGATCGTGACCTGAGCTGACGTCAGATGCTGAAACCCACTGAGCCACCCAGACGCCCCGGGTGGTGGTAATTTTTGTCGGTTATTTATACCCTAAAGCTTCTTAGGGAAAACTGTAAGAGAATGAATTTCCCGGGGCCACGTCTGACCCAGAGAACATTTATATGTTTGCCCCCCTTCTCCAGCTATGAGACTTTTTTTTTTTTTTGCATTTGTAAAATGAGGCCCTTTTAAATCTGATATCTGACACTTAACTTGATTATAGAGGGTAGAAGAATTGGTCTCTGGTGTCTGGCTTCTGGAATAAGGGGCTTTATCCTGGCGGGGCAGGCGGGGAGGGCTTGAGAAGGCACCCCATCTAGTGGCTACGCACGGGCACCATGTGGACCATCCGTAGCATCCTAACCCTACAGGGGCTGCCGCGCCTGTTGGCACGTGAAAACAATCTCCTTGAACTCTGGCGAGGTGGGGCATGCAAGATAGGCGTCCATAGACATGACCTTGCCCTTGCTCTGATGGAAGTCTGGATGGTGATTCTAGGGATCCTACCCCTGGGGATGCACACATTTGACAGTAAGGATGAAAAGGACTAATCTGCATCCCCTCTGCTCCCCCAACACATATTCCCATCATCTTCTCTTATCGGAAACCCGAGTGCCTGGCTGTGAGGGTGGGCGCCTGACTATGGGCGCACAGTTTTGTTTTTGTTCTCATTCTTACCTGCCCACGGCACAGCCTCTGTAGGACGCAGGCTTGTGCTTTTAGGACCCACGGGAACACATGTGATTCGCGAAAGCCAGCCGCCCCCTCTGCCAACTGAATCCTTCAGGTCCCCTTTGCGTTTCTGGCACTTGCCAGTTGGATCTGAGCACTCCAGCCGTGGCTGAAATCAACAGCACCAAGGTCAGTACCAGTAAAGCTCTTGCTAACGTCATACGCCAAAATATAGCGAATAAGTGAATACTAAGGGCACGTTGTTGTGAGGTTTGTTTTTTTTTTTTTAAGCAAATGTATTCTTCCTCCATTATTTAAAAAACGATTGAACAGCAAAAAGTTAAATCTCCTTTTACCACAAAAGTAAGGGAAATCATGCCCTGTGATGATCCCGTGGGGTTCTGCACCCACTCGCTTTTTCTCTCCAGGCTCCCTGTGGCCCCAGGCGGGGTTCAAAGACCCTGTCCCCGGGCAGGGGAGATTTGTCCAGCCCCTCCTCAGGCGCCTTCCCCGGATCAGCGCGTCCTGACCTGCCTCTCAGCCCAGCTAGTCTGAATGCTCCTCCCTCATGGCCCTGACGAGCCAGTCCCGTTCGGTCCCCTGCTCAGAGTCGCTCGTGTCGCTGGCCTCCCTGACCAGCAGCTTCGCGTAGTTGATTTTCTGCTCCTGGGGCAGCATGTGCTGGACGGACACGAACAGCGCCAGCCAGAGCATCAGGACCACGCAGCAGGCCTGGTACAGCACGGCCAGGCCGAAGTAGGTCACCACGAAGCCCCCCCCAAAGCTGCCCAGGCTGGCCCCGGCCCCGGAAAAGTGGCCTCGGAACATGGCACCCAGGGGCCGCTCGGTTCCCGGGGTGGCCCGGTGCTCGACCGAGGCCTTCACTGCCCACCACAGAGCCCCGCTGCTGAGGGCGCTCAAGACCTGGGCGGGGAGGACGGACCACCAGCTCCAGAGCAACGAGTAGTAGAGCAGCTGGCCGGCCAGGCAGCCCAGCCCCAGCCCCACGGTGCCCGCCCCGGTCAGCTTCCTCAGCAAGGTCGTTTTGAACGGATGGAGCGCAGTCTCCCCCAGCAAGCCCAGGGCCACCGAGAAACCCATGACCAGCTCGCTGCTCCCGAGGTCCTGCATGTGCCAGAACAGAAAGTTCTGCACCGTGCTGGCGGCGGCTCCTGCCAGGAAGACGGTGAGGGCCAGGAGGAGCAGGCGGGGGTCGCCTCCGGCCAGAGACAGCGCCTTGACCGTGGTGCAGCTGGGCTCCCGCGGCCTGCACGTGGGGACGGGAAAGGCGATGCTCAGCAGCAAAGCCAGCGTGCTGACCAGCGAGTAGCCGTAGAAGTGCAGCACCCCGCGGGGGCCCTTGGTCACCAGGGGGCACTCCAGCTGTCCCACCAACGCGGCGATGCCACACACGCCCGCGGTCGTGCCCAGCAGCCTCCAGATCCACAGGCTTCGGTACCGGTCGGTGGCGTCCACAAAATCCAGGTACTCATAAAGGCTGTCGTCCGCCACCTGCTCCAGAGGGGCGGTCAGCAGCTCCCACAGCACCACGGACCCCAGGCAGAGGAAGAAGGTCCGCCTCCACCCATCGGAGGCGAGGCCAAGGGCCCGGGCACTGCCCTCGGCCGCTGACCCGTTGGCTGGGCTTCCGAGCGCTGGACCCCCAGCAAGCAAAGGGAGGGCGGTCCTGCCCACCTTGAAAGCACCTTCCCAAGGAGTATCTGTCCCTCGCGACGTGACAGGGTGGACAGCTCGGGACGTGGTCCCGGCTCCTTCCACGGGGCCCAGGGCGTAGCCGGGCGGACGGCCGGACGGCCCGTGGACGCTTTCCGCGGGTCCCTTCCCGAAGCCGGAGGCTTCCTCGGTCCCAGGGAACAGTGAGGGTCCTGTCCCGGGCCTGCGCTTGGCCGGGGGGCCGGGCGCCCCCGGCGGCGGGCTCGAGGCGAAGGTGCCGGTGAGCGCGACCCCCGGGGGCGGGGCGGGGGCGGGGGCGGGGGCGCCGTGGCTGGCGTTACCGGAGCCGGACGGCCGGTCTTCGTCCAGCGGCGGCACCAGGCCGAGCAGCAGGCTGGCCCCCACAGAGCCCAGCAGCGAGCCCGTCAGAAGCACCCTCCGCTTCTGGTAGCTTTTGGCCAGGAAGGCGCAGAAGGGACCCCAGAAGGCTGCGACCAGGTGCTTGGTCCCCATCAGGATGCCCACCCAGGGCGCGGCCAAGCCCAGCTGCCTCAGGTAGAGGGTCAGGAACGGAGTCACGCAGGCGTCCCGCAGCCCGCACGCCAGGTGGAAGAGCCTGGCCACCCCCAGCGCCCTCCTGATGTCCCACTGGGGGTTGGCGCTCATGGCTGCCCGACTCCGTCAGTCCCGGGAGGGCGGGGGGCGGAGCTGGGCGCGGGGCCCGCGCGGGGCCGCGGCCATGGCCCGGGAAGGGGGCGCGGGGCGAGCGGGGAGCCCCCTCCGGCCTCGGGCGGCGCCGCGGTCACCGGGTCAACGGCCGCACGCCCACTCACCCCCTCCACGTCGGGCCTCCGGCCCGGAAGTAGCCCCGCCCCCTGGGCGCCGCACCTGGGGGGGCGGGGCCGGCGCACCTGCGCGCCCCACCTGCCAGTTCCGCTGCCCCTTCGGCCTCCGGCGGCGCCTCGGTCACCGGGTCAAAGACCGGCCGCGACGCCCACCTCCCCCTCCACGTCCACCCCCCCGACGTCCGGCCTCCGGCCCGGAAGTAGCCCCGCCCCCTGGGCGCCGCACCTGGGGGGGCGGGGCTGGCGCACCTGCGCACCCCACCTGCCAGTTCCGCAGCCCCTTCGGCCTCCGGCGGCGCCTCGGTCACCGGGTCCAAGACCAGCCGCCACGCCCGCCCCCTCCACGTCCACCCCCCCCCGACGTCCGGCCGCCGGCCCGGAAGTAGCCCCGCCCTCTGGGCGCCGCAGCTGGGGGCGGAGCCGGCGCACCTGCGCGCCGCACCTGCCTGTCCCGCAGCCCCTCCGCCAGTGCGCGAAGGTGGCTGCCGGTGGCCCGAGGGGTGCGCACCAAGCCCGGCCCCGGGTCACCCGCGTACCTGAGTCGGTTCTCTGAGTCGCTGCAGGAGAGGAAAATTGGGGGCCGGTGGGGGTAGCGGGGATGCGATTCACGATAGGACCTACCTGTTACCCCACTGACAAATCCCACCCGCTCCCCAGACTCACGCCCCCCTCCCCTGCTTTCTTTTTCTCCGCAGCACGCATCACCCCCCAGCACACTACGGCTTTCTATTTCGCGTGTGTCTCTCGTTTCTTGTCTGTCTCCGTCAGAGTCAGAACTCCAGGAAAGCAGCTCTTTTACTCCCCAGGACACAGAGCTGTTTCCTCGGATGCCAGCTCCCCCGGCAGAGACACCAACCCCCAGAGGGCACGGCTGCCGGCTGAGGGCTGTCTTGGAGTCTCCCCCTGCACCCCACGCAGGCTGTGGTCACAGCCCCTGCAAAGGTATGTACGTCTTGGTTAGTTTCAACGGACTCGTAAGGGAGCTCAGTATTCAGTTTGAGGGCACACAGCCCCAGGGGCAGTGAGCTAACACTGGGGCACGAATACAACCAGGTCAACAATCTTAGATCAACAGAAGTGTTTTCATTAATTAGCGATTTCACTGGTGAAATTAGTGGTGTCCAACTGAATATAATTTTGCTGGAGGCTTTTCCTGCCTGGGCAAGCATTTATAAGAATATAGAGAGTCCTTTGCAATGTTGTAGGCTTTACTCCAAGACGGTCCAATGTCCACCTGCTGATTTGGTGAAATTTGCATGCCAGGTTTGCTCAGAGCACCTAATTTGGCTGGGGTGGGGGTGGCGGGGGGTGGCGATTGGCCCACACTTGTCTGAATGTGTAGCAAACTTTGGTCTATGACTTGCTTTCACTGTGAGCTGGTAGACTCTTGCGGGAGGGGCCCAGAGGTCTCACCCAATTCGAACAGCTGGTAAACCCAGCAAATGTTTACTTAAAAGTCCTAGTAACTGTGAATGCCAAAGTTGGTACGAATCAGCTGACATCATGCCAATAGCAGGAAAATAAATGCAGTCGCCTCCAAGTAAACCGGCTCAAATCTGGTGATATCGGTCATTTCTGGTTTAAAACCATGTCAGTCTCAAAGGGGGCGTGTCCCTAATCTCTGTCTCCCTGGGTTCTGCACGGGGCAAATTCAGTGGAAGATCTCGCACCCATCCACTCGTCGGTCTTCACGTGTCCAGAGCTGGCAGGCATCTGCTGTGCTGGTGTCCCCGGGACCCACCTGCCTAGACCCCCAGGCAGCCCCTCTTTCAAGGGGTCTTACAGACTTGCCCCCCCCAATGCTGGGGCGAGGAGTAAAGTGCCTCCCTCTCTCTTGGATCTCCAAACCTGAGAGGGATTCTTCTTTTTTTTTTTTTTTTTAAATATTTTTATTTATTTCTAGGAGAGAGAGAGACAGCGTGAGCAGGGGAGGGTCAGAGAGAGAGGGAGACACAGACTGAAACAGGCTCCAGGCTCTGAGCTGGCAGTCAGCACAGAGCCCGATGCGGGGCTCGAACCCACGAACCGCGAGATCATGACCTAAGCGAAAGTCGGATGCTTAACCGACTAAGCCACCCAGGCGCCCCTGAGAGGGATTCTTCTATGCCCTCCTCCCACTCTCCCCAGGGACCCTGCCCAGGCAAGAGAGATGACCTCGAATCCACACTTTTATGTTTTCTCTGTTACTTTTCTTCCCACCCCACGCCTAGTCCCGGGTTGAAGAAACTGGTTCTGTGTTGCTGAGTTTCCCTATTTTATGTCTGGATACAAGTTTTAGAACTTGGGGCACCTGGCTGGCTCAGTCGGTTAAGCACGTGACTCTTGATCTGGATTCAGGTCATGATCTCACGGTTTGGTTCGTGAGTTCGAATCCCACGTTGGGGAGTCTGCTTGGGATCTGTCTCTCCCTCTGTCTGCCCCTCCCCTGCTTGCACACATGCGTGCCTCTCTCTCTGTCTATCTCGATAAATAAACTTGAAAAAAAAAAGTTTAGAACTCAAAAGCCAAGAGTTTCAATGTTTTTAATATCTGGCTCCCCTAAAACTACTTTGAATTCCCATTTCTGTTTTGGGACAGCACTGTCAGTGGAAGTGGGGACAGGGGTGGACAGGGGTGGACAGGCAGACAGAACTTAACCAGCCCAAGAGGATTCACTAGTTTAGATGAAGTACTGCCCCGATCTCTGTTAAAATCCAAATGTCACGCAGGGCGCCTGGGTGGCTCAGTCAGTTAAGCGTCTGACTTCCGCCCAGGTCATGATCTCGAGGTTTGTGAGTTCGAGCCTCACGCTGGGCTCTGTGCTGACAGCTCAGAGCCCGGAGCCTGCTTGGGATTGTGTGTCTCTCTGCTCCTCTCCCACTCACTCTCTCTCTCAAAAACAAACATTAAAGGGGCACCTGGGTGGCTCAGTCGGTGAAGCGTCCGACTTTGGCTCAGGTCATGATTTCACGGTTCGTGGGTTCGGGCCCCACATCGGGCTCCGTGCTGACGGCTGGAGCCTTCTTCAGACTATGTGTCTCCCTCTCCCTCTGACCCTCCCCTACTCACACCGTCTCTCTCTCTCTCTCTCAGAAATAAATAAAACATTTTAAAAAATTTAAAAAAAACACTAAAAACTTAAAACCCAGATGTCGCTAGGTAGTAGATAAAAGCAGAAGTACTTTAGTGTGCGTTTATTGGACCCGACAATTTCCTCTCAACCACGCGGACACCTGCCTGGGAATGCAGGGCAGGGAGGTGGCTGGAAGGAGGAAAAAGAACAGACTCGAGAGGGAGAAGCTGCACTTGTCTTTGCTTGCTTCCCACCCCCCGCCCCCTCCCCACCAGGCCCCAGGGCCCTGGCCAAATAGCAGCTCTCACTGGGGGGATTTAAGGGCCGAGGGGGCATCTTGCACCGGACAAGAGGGAACTGAAGATCAATGAGGGACACTTGTGCACGGAGCTGGGTCCTGCTTGTGTGTGTGTAGCTTTGCCAGAACCTTCCTCGAGCCTTGATGGGCCCTGCTCCATCACCCGCCACGGCCAAGCCACCGCCCTGTGCTCCGGTCACTCGCTGGCTCCTGCTCCCAGCCAGAGGCCAGCCAGGGCAGCCAGGCCTCATTCCGGCTGCCGGTGGGGGCGTCCGGAGGCCTGTGGGGTAGTGTATCCGTACTCTTAGGCCGGGGCTCCGGGACTGGCCTTTCCGCTGCTCCTGCGGGCTCACTGGACAATGCCGGAGAACGTGTTGATGGGCATGAGAAGGGGCTTGGGCTTGACTTTGGTCCCTTCCACCTCCTGCCCGTGTGAATTGGGCCGCGATGTCTTGGACTTGTGGGGCCCGGAAGACGGCTCCGGGCAGGGAGAAACCTCGAATCTGTGGGTAGAGAGAGGCCAGCTCAGGAGACTCGTGTCTGGAGTCAAGTCTTCCCCGGGCATTTGGAGGGTAGTCCCCCTATTACAGATTCTACAGAGGAGGCTTCACGGAGAGAGGAGGGAGTCAGGAAAAGGAAAGAGCAGCCTGGACGAGGGGGGGTGCGTACCCCGGGACAGGAGGCGTGCCTGCATGGGTCACTAGGTGTACGCCTTCCTTACCCAAACACACCATCCCAGGGGAACCTGTGTCAGGGGGCCAGTGCCGACCCGGGGTCAGATCAGTGGCCGCGGCCACGGGCTGAGTGTAGGTAGAGGAATCTCCAGAAACGTTAATATCAGCGGCTGCCCGGAGTCAGCCATTCATTTGTTCTTCCTGGAGTCACAGGAAGTCACGAGGCAGTGGCCGCAGTCCACCCCACCAGGGACACCTGCCCGGCCACAGGGTCTGCTCGGGTGTGCCCCGTGGGACACGCAGGGACGGCGAGGCCCAGCCTTACCTGACCACATCCTTGAATGTTCGGCGACTGTCTTTGTCCAGCAGCAGTGTCAGGGGCCTGTGGTCCTGGCTCTGGATCTGGACGGTGGCCGTCCGGAAGGTGTTTGTCACTGTCTGCAAACAAAGAGAGCTCGTGTGAGTGTCACCTTGGGGACGGATGGCCTTGCCAACACCCCCTACCCTCTCCGGCGTCTTTGATCGGTGCAGCGCACGGGGTCCCCCGCTCCCTTCCTGCAAGTGGCTTGCAGCAGGGACAGTAATCTGCAGAAACTGTGTCCGGGCTGCCCTGGCCTCTGGGTCTCTTATCATTTCCGCAGTGTTCCCCCCACTCCCAGTCCGTCGTCCTAAATTTCAAACAGCCTGGATCTTGCCAAGTTATCAAGGTACCTGAGACCTCCCTTGTACAGGCGTGTATATTACATGTGCCGTCTGGGCAGGGGGGATATTTCAGGGGTTTTAGGAGTCCTGACTGCTGTCCTCGGACTTGGATTACATACAAAATGATTTCCCTGGGGCGGAGATGGGGGGTCTAGGAAGCGGCCACCTACCCTCATGACGCAGACGAGCCCTGTAACTGTTTGCACCATGGAATTGCCTAGGCGGCCAGGCACAGGTGGAAGGAATCCATTCTCTGCACAGGAAACCTGGGGCAAAGGGCTCCTGCCTTCCACGCGCTAAAGCCCTGTGTGGCTTCTCTAGAACGTACTCAGGACCTGAGGAAAACAGCTTGCAGGCAGCTCTCTAACCCCCTGACCCGACGGCTGCCCAGAGGGAGGGGACCTCTCAGGAGAGGATTGGGAGCATCCTGCGTTCCAGGTGGGGCCTTCAGAGGGACTTTCCAGGTGGCTGGCCCACTCTATATGCAGACAGCAGCTCTGGGTGGCTCGCCCCTGCCCCCGACATTCTGGGCTTCTAGAGTTCATCTCGCTCAAGAATTCTCAACCCTGGAAATCTCCTTTCCAAAACATAAAATTAGAGGTTCAAAACTGATGCGGTCTGGGGGCGCCTGGGTGGCTTAGTCGGTTAAGCGTCCGACTTTCGCTTAGGTCATGATCTCGTGGTTCGTGGGTTCGAGCCCCGCGTCGGGCTCTGTGCTGACTGCCAGCTTAGAGCCTGGAGCCTGTTTCAGTCTGTGACTCCCTCTCTCTCTGACCCTCCCCTGCTCACGCTGTCTCTCTCTCCTAGAAATAAATAAAACATTAAAAAAAAAAAAACACAAAAAACTGATGCGGTCTGGACTTGAGCCCAGGCACGGGCATCTTTAATAAACTCCCCATTACAAGCAGGACGGGGGGCCACGGAACTAACCCAGCTTTTCCAGTGTTAGAGCAGAGGTCCACGCAGCAGCTGAAACTGGCTGGGAGTGGGGGTGGGGGTCAGGCATGTCTGGGCATTTCTGCCAAATGTTTGTCAGAGGAGGGGGCAGGACACTGACCAGGCTGCTAGCTGGACAACCAGAAGCATTGGGGTGTCATCCATGACCTTCCAGAAGTACCTGGGGAGACGGTAGGAGGCTAAACTCCTGTGTGAGCTGGGGGGTGGGGAAAGCCAGATGCATTATGATAGCTTATGGGACCCCACTTGAACTGACCCCAGCTGGCGAGGGAGAAGACTGAGGTCTGGAGGGATTGACCGTGATCTTCTGAAGCTTTCACAGTAGTAGGCGTGGGACCCAGCTCCCGGACTCCCGACTCAGTGCTCTTTCTCTGCATTAGGCTGCGCTAGGTGTCTCCCAGCAGGATCTGGGCCTCCCTGACCTTGACCTCCAGGTAGCCAGTGGCAGTGTCCTGGCCTCCTTCCACCTGCCTGCATTGCAGACAGAGGCCTTCGTTTCCCCTCTGTGGTCTGCGTGCCTACACACACCGGACCCTGCCTGGCTTTGGCCCCGTGAGGACCACAGGGCTGTTGGATTTTACTCTATAGATGTGGCCCCGGAGGTCAACTGAAATGGCCAGATGCTGAATTTGCAAAGGGTCTCAGTCTCAGCTCGTTAGGGGCTCCCTGCTCTCATGCCCCAAAGCCCCAATTTTACCATTCCTGCCTTATTTCCCACTACTTTCCTCTATCAAACTTCCCACCCAGCCCAATTAGTATCATTGCTGCCCCTTAACCTCACCAATCCAGCCACAACGCCCTGGCCCTGCTGTTCTCCAAGCAGAGAACACCCTCACTCTAGCTCACCACGAAGCCCCCCTACCTCTCGACGTTCGCCATCTATCCAGTTGTGCAGAGCACAGAGCTGCCCCGCCTGGGTTCCAGGAGCAAAGCAAAGCTTCTGGAACTTCCTCCAGCAAGTCAGTGCAGGGGAAAAGGACACACGAAGGGGTGATAAGTTTAGATTTTCGAAAAGCCTACAAGCAGGTTGTTTAAAGAGGTCATTAGAGATGGAACTGTTAGGGGTGTCTGGGTGGCTCAGTGGGTCCAGCGTGGGACTTCTGATTTCCGCTCCGCTCATGACCTCTTAGTTGTGAGTTCAAGCCCCGAGTCAGGGTCTGCACTGACAGCTCAAAGCCTGTCTGGGATTCTCTCTCTCTGCGTTCCTCCCTCGCCTGCTCTCTCTCAAAATAAATAAAATAAACTTAAGAAAAAAAGAAAGGAAAAAACCCTTGCAGGGAACGGACTTGGAAAGAGGAACTAGAGGAGTGTAAATCGGGCCACCTTGCAGCCTCCTTGAGGCTCAGGTACAGAGCTGTCCAATAGGAAGGAGGCTTTCCCTCGGTACCTGTGACCTCTCAGCCAATCAGAGCTCTTCTTCAGTAGACCTGCGGGCTCAGGGAGAGCGCGCGCATGCGCGTTAGGGATGAGGTCCTGGAGAGGCGGGATCAGACTGGAGGGCTCAGCAAACGCTGAGAGCACCTGGTGAGGGTCAGACCTGGGGAGGATGGGGAGGACCAGGGTGGGGGGAGCCCAGGGCACTCACAGTGCATATCACTGTACAGAGATCATGACCCCAGGGCTGTGTGGGAGCACAGAGAGGGGCACCTCGCTTACGCAGGAGTGGGGGGTGATGGTGAGCATCAGGGAGGGCCTCCCGGGGGAGAGGACACCTGAGTTTCCTTTTGAAGGAGAAATACGAGCTACGGAAAGAAGATGGAGAAGAGAAAGGTAGGACCAGGTTTCAGATCCGGGACAGCGCATGAGCAGGACACGGAGGTGGGTCTGCGGGAACACGTTTGCACACGGTGTGTGGTAAAGGGCCCGGGGATTCAGGCCGGCGTTGCGCATGGAGCCGAAGGGGACCCATGCTACGCAACACTGAAGTTTCCTGCCTTTAGCCATGGAGCATGGGAAATGACAGAAGCGTTTTAAGCATTGACAGGTCGAAGGTTTATTTTTTTTTTTATTTCAAGTTTATTTCTTTATCTTGAGAGAGAGAGAGAGAGCATGAGCAGGGGAGAGGCAGAGATAGAGAGGGAGAGAGAGAATCCCAAGCAGGCTCCGTGCTGTCAGCGCAGAGCCGGACTCAGGGCTTGAATTCACAACCATGAGATGATGATCAAGGCTAAAACCAAGAGTTGGTCGCTTAACCAACTGAGCTACCCAGGTGCCCCTATTTTAGAAATATCGCTCGGGCAGAGATGTGGAGGGTGGACCTAAGGAGCTTTGTGGGGGTATCAGCTAGGAGGCTACTGCGTTTGTCCAGGAAAAAGGGAATCGTTCAGGTCTGGACCAAGGGTGTCCAACCTGTCCTGATGTGCCTGGGACTGTCCGGGATTTAGCACAGAAGGCCCCTCTCCCCAGGAGGCAGTCCTTAGTCCTGGGCAAATTCGGGCGGTTAGTCAACCTCAGTGGCTCCAAAGAAGGGGGAATGAGGGGCAAGGAAAAAGTTCGGAGAAGTGTTGAGAGAGAAAACCAGCGGCACACAGGAAAGTGAGGAAGAGGAGGCATCTGAGGGGACCCCCAGAATTCTGGCAGAGGTGACCGATTAATGACGGTACCATTAAATGAGAGGCCAGACACAGCAGGGAGGGGATGAAACAAAAATCATTCTTAGCACCCACACAGCCCTTTCTTGGCCACACACTCCTCTGAGAGCTTTACATGTGACAGTCATTCCATCCCCACAACGACTGGCTAAGGTCAATACTGTTATTATCATCACCGTTTACAGATGGTGAGAATCAGATCTAGGCAGCTGATTAACTTGCCTGAAGTCACAGAGCTGGTAAATAGCAGAGCCAAGCTCCACATGAGGCAGTCTCAGTCTGGCCCTGGAGAGCCCTTACTACTTGAAAGGCCTGGCTTTGGTCTTGGATGCCTTGCAATTGGGGTGTTGTGGACATCCAGTTCATGCTGAGTTGAATGTACAGTCGGAAACTCAGGGGGTGAGCATCAGCACCAGAGATACAGATTTGGGTGCCCTTAACACACTGGACTCAAACCACCCATGTCGGGTAGCCAGTCCAGGGAACGAGAAAGAAGTGGGCCATAGATGGAAGCTGAGATCAGTAGCTATTTAAAGAACTGGCTTAGGAAAAAAGAGCCCGGGGAGCGAGGCCAGCAAGTCACAGTCAGATATGTACAACTTTGAGAAAGTGGCATCTTCAAATTCCCAGATTCAGAGAATTTAAAGACTCAGAGAACAAGGCGTCAGCTCTGGTGGTGGAACTCCTTAAAAATTGATCAAAGCGGGGCGACTAGATGGCTCTGTAGGTTGAGCGTCCGACTCTTGGTTTTGGCTCAGGTCGTGATCTCAATGGTTTGTGGGTTCGAGCCCCAGCATTGGGCTCTGCGCGGATATGTGGAGCCTGCTTAGAATTCTCTCTCTCTCTGCCTCTCTCCTGCTCATGCTCTCAATGAATGAATGAATGAATGATTTAAAAATTGATCAAAGGAATAAAAACCTAGAAGAATGGTCTATGACAATGTTGGAAGCCAGCTTTATTAGCATATCGACATATAAGTGGGACTTTATTTATTTATTTATTTATTTTTTAGTTTTTTTTATTTATTTCTTTCTGAGAGAGAGAGAGAGACAGCGTGAGCAGGGGAGGGTCAGAGAGAGAGGGAGTCACAGACTGAAACAGGCTCCAGGCTCTGAGCTGGCAGTCAGCACAGAGCCCGACGCGGGGCTCGAACCCACGAACTGCGAGATGATGACCTAAGCGAAAGTCGGACACTTAACCGACTAAGCCACCCAGGCACCCCAAGTGGGACTTTAAATATGTATTTTTTTCAATGTAAAGGTAACCATGATAGAAAAACTAGCACATGTACTTTCCAGATTGTCAGAGGCGGAAAATAAGCTAACAAAGCTTAAGTCCCCCCCCTCAAAAAACACCAGCAAAAGCATTACAAAAGTCAAAAAGCATGACATAAAACAGCAGAATAAGATCAAATAGTGCATAAAGTTAGTGTCGATGGATTAATCTCTCATTTGTTAAAAAAACCACGGACTTTCAGACTGAGTCAGAACAAAATCCAACTGTATGCTATTTACAAGAGGCATATCTAAAATAAAATAAAAATGTTTTAAGTTTTTTTAATGTATTTATTTCTGAGAAAGAGAGAGAGAGAGAGAGAGAGAGAGAAACAGTGTGAGCCGTGGAGGGTCAGAGAGAGAGGGAGCCCGAAGCAGGCTCCAGGCTCCGAGCTGTCAGCACAGAGCCCGACGCGGGGCTCAAACCCACGAACCAGTGAGATCATGACCTGAGCCAAAGTCGGATGCTTAACTGACTGAGTCACCCAGGTGCCCCAGAAATGTTTTAAAAATAAAGGGACAGGGTGCCTGGGTGGCTCAGTTATTTCACTCTCTAATTCTAGCTGAGCACCTAATAATAGCTATTTATCTAACAGATAATAAGATTGTGTAACTACTAGTTAGGTATCTAACTACCTAAATCCAAAATAGGGATAAAAAAAGATATATATGCAGATAGTAAATTATAAAAATGAGCTCTCTGTTAGCTCCCTGGTCTTCTGGAAGAAAGAAAAGTCCAGTGACATGGATGACGACGTCATTGAGCACACGAGTCAGAGGCCAGCTGGTGTTTTGTGTCTGACACAGAGGCTCTCCATACTTTGATGGCATGTAGCTATCAACTACATAAAGATATATGGGAAACAGGCTAGGTGTTTGCACGTCAAAATAGTAAGTCATTCCTCTCTAGAAAATGGGACCAGAAGTAGATTTACTTCTTTGTGCTTTTTTTTGCGAGACAGAATCCCAAGCAGGCTCTGTACTGTCAGCGCAGAGCCCGACACAGAGCTCGAACCCACAAACCGTGAGATCATGACTTGAACCAAAGTCAGACGCTTAACCGACTGAGCCGCCCAGGTGCTCCTACAACATTATTTTTTAAAGGGGAAGACAAACATCGAGGACCAGAAAGACAGCTTTGGTCTTAGTGACACGGAGGTGACTTTGCTACAGTGGGGAGGGCGGTACGCAGCTGGTAGCGGGAAGGAGAGACTTGGGGAGAGACTGAGAACTCCTTTCGGGGTACATCACAAGAAGCTTGACTGGGACGGAAGGAGCGCAGTGGGAGCCAGAGAGGTAGCAGGTCATGGTAGAGATTTTCTTTCAAGGATGGAAAAGACCTGATCACGTCTCCAAGCTACGAAGGAGGAGCAGCACAGAAGGTCCACGCTGGAGGAGAGGGAGGAAGTGAACTAGACGAAAAAGAGCCCAGAAGACATGCAAGAGAAGGGGCTTGAGGTACGAGGTCAGGTGTTTGCTCCCCTGGACGCAGGATTTATTCCAGAAGCACTGAGAATACAGACTGAGTAGGTGACTCGATGGAGAGTGAGTGTCTGCCTGAGCGGTGCTGGAGGGGAGTGGAGGGTGGCTGAGAACAGGGCTCAGGTATAATCATGGGATCCACAGCCCAGCTGAGTGGGGACGGGAAGTCCAGAGAGGCCAGGAGATGGGGGGGAAATGGGTGGGTCCCGGGTCTGTATCAATAAAGGAGTCCAAATCAACCAGTATCAATAAGGGCAAAGGGCAGCCGTAGGGGCGATGAGTTGGAGGAGCTTGCTCGATTTGGTTCAAGGTTGGGCTGTTGTTGCTTAGGAGTCTGGCTGCTGGGTAGTGCTGGGGGTGCCAGACTTGGGCATGGCCTGGGTCCCCCAAGAGCCAGCAGGTGGAGGGCCTTGACTCTTCTCAGGGCCTTGGTGCTCCCCACTTCACAGACCAGGGGAGTGTGGATTCTCTCCGAGAGGAAGACCCACTCCAACAGTAAGCCTTCAGAAGCCAGTTCTGCTTCTTTGAATACCCCGGCCCGGGCCACCTTCCTTGTTCGAGGGTCCCATTCCGCCCAGTACTTACAGAGAAGGATCTTCCGGCCAAGTTGGAGGACTTGATGACCTCCGTCACGCTGACGTTCAGGCACGTGTGGTCTGTAACGGGAGCAGCAGATGGCGGGGCGTGGGTGGGCCCAGAACCTGGGAGGAACAAGATGGGAAGTGGGTGGCTGTAAAGCGCCCCCCACTTCCTGCCTGCACCTTGGTCCCAAACATGTTTCAGTTCCTTCCTGAACATCCATCCTGAACACCCTGCAACATTTCTGTGCCCTCAGGCATGGCAGCCACCATCAGCCCCGTGCCTTTCTGCACCTCCCCCTGCGCCCCTCTTCTATGGAAAGCAGTGCTGTGGACCCTCCCCGAAGCCCCCGGGCATGCTATCCATTGATGGGGAGCACAAGTTAGCATGGCGGTGGGCAGGTGGGGGGAGTCTGGTGAAGGAAATACAATTTAACAATTAGAGCGAACATGGTAGTTTACTAGACGCACATGAATTAGGACTTTATCTTCACTTTAGAAATGAAAGAATAAGTAGAGAGGTCACGAGTAACTGGCCCAAGGTCACACAGATGGTAGACAAAGCTGGACCTTGCCTGACCCAGAATCTGTGCTCTTGACCCACCATGACCACCACTTGGTAAGAGCTAGCCCTGAAGTCACAAGTCTCCCTCGAGGTGTTAAGGATGCAGAAGTGGGGGCGCCTGGGGGGCTCAGTCGGTTGAACGTCTGACTTCGGCTCAGGTAACGATCTCGCAGTTCGTGGGTTCGAGCCCCGTGTCGGGCTCTGTGCTGACAGCTTGGAGCCTGGAGCCTGCTTCAGATTCTGTGTCTCCCTCCCTCTGTCTCTGCCCCTCCCCACCTCTCAAAACTAAATTAAACTTAAAAAAAAAAAGATGCATAAATAAAGGAGGTCTTGCTATTTCCCCCAGTTCCTTTGCCTAGAAGCCTGCACTGGACGGCCTGGGTGTGACTCCCGGCTCTGACCCTTCCTCGTGGATGTGACCTGGCCTTCAGTTGCATCTCTAGTAAAAAGCTCCTGGTACTAATAATGCCGATCTCACAGTGTTAGGAGAGCCGCTCTGTCTGACACAGAACACGCTGGCCTCTGACCCATGTGCTCAATGATGTCGTCATCCATGTCACTGGACTTTTCTTTCTTCCAGAAGACCAGGGAGCTAACAGAGAGCTCGTTTTTGTAATTTACTGTCTGCATGTAAGTTGGTATCGTCTATTATCCCTATTTTAGATTTGGATTGTTAGATACAGGATCTTATTATCTATTCGATAGATAGCTATTATCAGGGGATTAGCTAGAATTAGAGAGTTTGGACCAGGGGTGCCTTTTGTGAATGGGGAATATCTGCACCTTGGTGGAGTGACATTCGAAATAAAACATCTCCAGACCCAACAAAGGCAGGAAGGCAGCAGGGGCCCCTCCCCCTCCAGCTGCAAGGCGGACCCGAGGCCAATGCTGTCCCCTGTTCCCCGATGGTGAAGAGACCACGCTGCACCCGGGCACCCGGTGCCCAGCCCTGCACCCAGCCACGTTCCATGACCTCGGGGATGCGTGGGAGGCCCCATTCCTCTGGGCCACCTGGTCTACCGGGACTCACCCCTTTTTCCTTCTCCCCCCACCGCTCCCCCTTCAGTGCCTTCTCTCTCCCCCTGCTTTCCCCAGGTCCTTACCTTCAGTGTCACTGGCTGCGAGGGCCTTCAGGACCAGCCCAGTGGCCCGCAGGGAAACGGTGACCTCTTGGGCCCGGTGGCTGAGCAGGGCCTGGGGGGGGGGGCGGTGCAGGAACCGAGGGGGTGCTCAGAGCGACGCTGTCCCCCTGGGCACCCTTCCCTTCCCGCCCCTGCCCTGACTGCGATTCTTGTCTGCGTCACTAAAGCCCAAGGCGGGGCTGGCGGAGAGGGGCTGAGAGCACTCGGCCCCGGGGAGCACGGAGAGCACGTTCAGCCTCCCAGACCCAAAGGAACACATCTCTGATGGCATCAGTTCAAGCACCTGGCTCGGGAGGAAGGCATCCTGGAGCAACGGGACAGCCCCCTGTGCCCCCCTGGCTGCCAGCGAGGCGGGTTGCAATCCGTCCATCCCTGCGTCTCCAAGGGCCGGGAAAGTCTGGGGCAGGAGGCTCTGGCTCTGTCTGCTCCCCACCGGCGCGTCCCTGAAGCCAGCTTCCCGGCCACTCACCTTCTGGTAGCAAATGTTGAGCTCGGCCCCTGGGCCCTCGGCTCCGCCCCTCCTCCTGGGTGAACAGCCATCTGAGGGAGGAGGAGGGGAGAGGCTGAATCAGGTGGGAGGCTCCGCCCCTCCTGCCTCACCTGAGCTCAGGCCAAGCTGAGCTGCTGAATTTTGACAGCATCTTTCTCTCCTTGGATGGAAAGGAAGCATCTCGGTAGCTCCAGTCCAGGGAAGCTTGGAGGAGCCAAGGGCACCCCGGTATTCAGTGGATGTGGAACAGGGGGGCCACTAGGCTGGAGGACGTTCTGGAAACGTCTTGGCCTAAGATGCATCAGTGAGCTCTGCGAAGGGGGCTCGGATCCTCACCTTTGGGGGCTTTGGGGTCTTGAATCTTCACGTTGAGCTCGGTGAGAAAAATGTCCTCTGCAGGGTGTTGGCTCAGGTCCCTGAAGATCTGGAGGGAGGAGGGGGAAGAGGGAGGAGGCCAGCCCTGTCACAGGCACCTCGCCCTCTGTCCCCCAGAGCTCGAGGGTGTGGACGGTCGGAGAGCTTCTGGAAGGAAGCAGGACCCGGGCCCCCACCATCCTGCTACCGCTAGATTCTGAACTGCAGCCAGTGATTTCCTGGACCTGCCTGCCCACATGTGCAGCAAGGTAATATGTTTACAAATAGGGGAAGACGCTCGTGGTGAACCCCAGGCTACCTGTAACCACGAGGGTCTAATGCGGAAGGAATGGCACATGCGCAATTCACACAGGGGCTGGGCCGTGGGAAAAAATCTCTTGAGGACACCCTGGAGGGCCAGGGAGAGGGACCCGATTCCTGACTTGCATGGCGAGGCCAGCCAGGAGGGAAGGGCTGGAGGGCGCTGAGCCATTGCGGGGGCGGGGTGTGTGTGTGTGTGCCAGAAATCTAGGGCTGGAGGGGCCTCTCTGTGACCCCGATGGGTCAAGACAGAAAGCAGACCCTGCCACAGTCACAAACACAGGAAAAAAGGGGAAGGTGTACAGTCCCCGTCCCCCTCCCTTCCTATCTGGTCACTTTTCACAATCAAAGGATTACTCAGAATTAAGAATGACCCAGGGACGCCCGGACCCAGGGACGGCCTGGTGGCTCAGTCGCTTAAGCAAGCGTCCAACTTCAGCTCAGGTCATGATCTCACAGTTCATGAGTTCGAGCCCCACGTCGGGCTCTGTGCTGACAGCTCAGAGCCTGGAGCCTGTTTCAGATCCTGTGTCTCCCTCTCTCTCTGCCCCTCCCCCCCTTGCGCTCTGTCTCTCTGTCTCTCTCAAAAACAAACCATTAAAAAAAAAAAAAAGAACCACACAGATGTCCAATCACAGAATCACTCCCTCCCGACCTCTCTCCCAAATCACCTGACTCGAGCCCAAAGCCACATTATAAGTTCCTTCTAACAGCCTCTGCCCATGGTTGTCCACGCTGTGCACTGCTCCACACTGCTGGCCCCGCCAGAGCCAGCAAACCCTGGTCTGCTCTGGGCAGCGACGGATGCCTAACTTTTCTCTTTAAGTTACTTGTGTGGCTGAGATGTTATTCCCTTTCTCAGCTTGAGAGGTTTCTCCCGTTGGTCTGACTTGGGTTGTTTTGTTTTGCCCTTTGGAAAACCAAAGACAGGAGCTAACTGCCCCATTTAGGTCAAAAAGCAGGAAGGAAGGTCATAAAGAAAATATCCACCACGCGGATGCGGAGTGAGGGATGAGAATTCAGAACGAGACAGGAAGCGGCAGAGGCGGCCTCCCGCAATCGCAGGCTGAGGGGGGACGTCCCAGAGGAGGCAGGGGACAGACTGGAAGGGCATGCATGAGGGGTTTTGCCTGAACTTGGGGGCGGGGGGGGGGCTCCGTATCTGCTGGTGAGCTGTGGACGCATGCGTAGGCACAGACAGCAGGCTGGGGGACGCCTAAGGGTCTCTCCAATTTGCCCCCAGGTGACTGGGTGGCCAAGTCACTTGCTGAGAGTGAGGACTGGGAAAGGCAGGGAAGGCGGGAACAGCCATTGCTCAGGGAAAGGGACAGGCTGGCCGCTGCGGGTGCCTTCACATCTGGCCAGAGGGCTTCAGACTGGTTTTGAGCAGGTGCCCGGGAGCCCGGAGCTCAGCAGGAGCTGAGGCGCACTGGAGCGCTGCCCTGGGCTCGGGTTTTGCCGGGAGGGGAGGCATCGAGCGAGCAAGGACACAGGGGCTGCTGGATGTGGTAAGATGGAGGGACAGCTTCTCTGAGGGGGCAGGTGCTGGGGGAGAAGGTGAGGGGGGCTTGCAGGGACGGGAGTGCGTGATCAGACTGGACAGCGAGCCTTTAGGAGTTCTGAGATAGAGCGATTCCTGGGGGGAACTTTCTCAGCAGCCCTATCCCCCAGCCCTCCCCAGGGTCAAGGCCTAGAGTGTCTTTCGACGGGAAGAAGACGTGCTCCTGCTCACACTGGGTGTCTGTGAAGTTAATAATCGCCCGATTCGTCCGAGGACTGGGAAGACACGGTGAGCAATCAGCAGTGCCTGGGCGGGTCTGTGATTTGTGCCCGGCTAAGCCGCACCTCCCCCGAGCCAGAGTGTTCCTGCAGTGGGGTCCTGGGCCCCCCGCGCTCCCCCAGGGGAGCCATTCTTACCTTGACGGTGTAGATCTGGAAGTAGATGGGTTGGGTGCCCATGCGAAGGTAGTAGGTGATGACATCCAGGATGAAGGGGTCCACGGTCCGGGATGTGTCCAGGGAGAGGGGCTGGGAGGGGGGCAGAGAAGGTGTTCAGCCACCGTCGTCCGGGCTGCTGTGGGAGGTGCTGCTCTGGGGACAGAGAAACTCCAAGGCTCCCATGTACCCTCCGTGAGGGACTAACCCAGCTGGTCCCTCAAAGCCTCCCAGGCCTTGCTTACCGCCGGATGTCTACTCCCCAGGCAAATATACCTGCACAGGGTCCCTGCCCCCATTTCTGTCTGTCTGTCTGTCTATCTATCATCCATCTATCTTCTATCATCTATCTATCATCTATCTATCTATCTTCTATCATCTATCTATCATCTATCTTCTATCTTCTATCTTCTATCATCTATCATCTCTCTATCTTCTATCATCTATCTATCTATCATCTATCTTCTATCATCTATCTTCTATCATCTATCTATCTTCTATCATCTATCTTCTGTCTTCTATCATCTAGCTATCATCCATCTATCTATGTATCTTCTATCATCTATCTATCATCTATCACCTATCATCTATCTATCTTCTATCATCTATCTATCTATCTTCTATCTTCTATCTATCTTCTATATCTATCTATCTATCTATCTTCTATCTGTCTTCTATCATCTATCTATCATCCATCTATCTATCTTCTATCATCTATCTATCTTCTATGTGTCTTCTATCATCTATCTATCCATCTTCTATCATCTATCTATCATCCATCTATCTACCTTCTATCATCTATCTATCTATCTATCTATCTATCTATCTATCTATCTATCTTCTATCTGTCTTCTATCATCTATCATCCATCTATCTATCTATCTTCTATCATCTATCTATCTATCTATCTACCATCTATCTATCTTCTATCATCTATCTATCTATCATCCATCTACCATCTATCTATCTATATCTCACACTGTTTCCAGTGTCTTCATGTGGAAACTGCGTTTGGAGTAAGCATGGGGGGCCATACAAACTGCTAATTATTAGGGCAAAGCCATCAGGGGACCCCAAATTCCGCATGTGTCCTGACATGGGGAACAAAAGTTACCAACAAACGAGTAGAAATGAGACCTGCCTTAGATGCTCCTCCCCTAACAGCCTCTAAGTGTTCTTATTTATTAAAAATTTTTAATGTTTAGTTATTTTTGAGAGAGAGAGAGAGAGAGAGAGAAGGCATAAGTGGGGGAGGGTACAGAGAGAGGGAGACACAGAATCTGAAGCAGCCTCCAGGTTCCGGCTGTCAGCACAGAGCCCCACACAGGGCTTGAACTCATGAGCTGCGAGATCATGACCTGAGCCGAAGTCGGATGCTTAACCCACTGAGCCACCCAGGTGCCCCAAGTTTTCTTATTTTGTTTTGAGAGAGACAGAGTGAGGGTGAGCAGGGCAGGGGCAGAGAGAAAGAGTGAGAGAGAGAGACAGAATCCCAAGCAGTCTCCGCACTGTCAGCACAGAGCCCAATGCGGGGCTTGAACTCATGAACTGTGTGTGAGATTGTGACCTGAGCCGAAATCAAGTGTCAGATGCTCAACTGACTGCACCACCCAGTCGCCCCTGATAACCTCCAAGTTTTGAGGAAAAGGTATTTCAATACTTGGCTAACTGTCTTCTGTGTATGTGCAAAGACACTTTTTGGGTAAGCGATAATTCAGAAAACAGGCCTCCCCGACATTCTTATTAGAAGGTATAAGAAACAACCCCAATCAATCAGGCCATAAAATGACATGAAGATCTCAGCAAAGTGTCAACTTAGAAAATAAGATACCCAGGGGTGCCTGGGTAGCTCAGTCGGTTTAAGCGTCCGACTTCGGCTCAGGTCATGATTTCACAGTTTGTGGGTTTGAGCCCAGTGTCGGGCTCTGTGCTAACAGCTCAGAGCCTGGAGCCTGCTTCAGATTCTGTGTCTCCCTCTCTCTCTGCCCCTCCCCTGCTTTTGTGCACTCTCTCTCTCAAAGATAAATAAACATTAAAAGGAATGTAAAGAAGATAAGGTACCTAAAATCAATAGACTCCTTTATACAGCAGCAACTGCTACCAAAATGTAAGAGGAAATAGACACCACCCACAACAAGAAAAAACCATCAAACATGAGATATAGCAAGACTCACATGCTAAAAGTGGACAGCTATCCTGAGGGCTATACAAGAAGACTTTAATAAATAAAGATAAATCCCGGGCTCCCAGAGGGAGTAACTTCACACGCTACAGAGGCTAACTTTCCTCCACATTTCAATCAAAAGCCTAAGGCAGGAGGGGGTGGATTAAAAAAAAAAAAATCCATGACAAAATTCTAATATTTATCTGGAAACAAACATCGTCTGAAAAGTTTTCCAGAAGAAAAGTAACGAGGTAGGTTTATTCTGCCTGCTATTAAAATAGGCAAGTACTAATGTGTCCGGAAGTGAGTGGATCAATGAGAAAGAATAAGTGTCCAGAAATAAACTCAAGCATCTGTAAAAATTTAGTAAACGATCAGAGTGGCATTTCATGGGGCAGGATGGCTTATGCAATAAATAGCTTTAGGATAAATGGCTAAACATTTGGAAAAAAGAAATGTGCATGCTTCACACCAGTGAAATCAATCACAGGCAGGTTAATTTAAATGTAAAAACTGAGACATTAAAAAAAAAGGCTACAGTAAATTCTCAGTGAATATTTAATCTTGGATGTAATTTAATCAGCAGAGGAGAACTTTCAAAGCAGGACTCCAGAGGCAGGTGTCACATATACCTGTGTATGACATAAAAATATTAAACTTCAGGGGGCGCCCGGGTGGCTCAGTCTGTTGAGTGTCCGACTCTTGGTTTTTGCTCACGTCCTGATCTCGCAGTTTGTGGGTTCAAGCCCCATATCGGGCTCTGTGCTTTCAGTGCAGAGGCTGCTTGGGATTCTGCTTCTCCTTCTCTCTCTACCTGTCTCCTCTCTCTCTCTCTCTCCAAATAAATAAATAAGTATTGAAAAATATATCAAACTTCTGTAAGGCAAAAAACACTGCTTATGAAATTCACAGGCAAATAACAGAGTGGAAAAAAAATGTCGCCAGTACCTGACGTCTAAAAGGTTAAGATTCTCTTAATAGTAGGGGTGCCTGCCTGGCTCTCTCAGTGGGTAGAGCCTGCGACCCTTAATCTCAGAGTTGTGAGTTCAGGCCCCATGTTGGGGGTAGCGTTTACTTGAAAAAAGAAAAAAAGAATCTCATAATATATGAAGATCTTTTCAAGTCAGTAGAAGATGAACTCACTCGCCATCCACCTGGAATCAAGCTGTCTGGTTACCGGTGGTACTTTGGGCAAGTTCCCTAATCTTTGCTTAGTAGTTTGGTCTGTAAAATGGGGACATGGCTATATTGGCATCTGCCAACAAGAGTGCCTACTTGGTAGGGCTGTTGAGTGTGAGTGCCCTTAAACAGCACCGGGCACCTGTAAGTGCTCAGGAAACACGGGCTGTTAAGTGTCCCACCCAAAGCAGGTGCCTGGGAGAATTTTGACCACCAGCTCCCATGTTTCCTTCCAGCCTCATCCCACTCCGGAGGGCCCTGGGGTTGGCTCTTGAGGTCAAGGGTCAAGGGTCACATCTGAAATCCACCCCCTCCCGCCCTCGCTGCCCCCCCCCTACCATCTCTGCCAGCTTGTGGATGGCCGGGCACAGCGTATTGACGGTGCTCTCATACCACGGGTCTGCGCGGCCCAGGAACGTGGCCAGCTCTCTGAGCTCCGAATGTTTGCATGATGACGCCAGTTTCTGGGGACAAGGGCATGGGGCAGACCCATCAGGCCCGGTCTCTGGCCAGAGGCTCCCTCCCCTAGGCCCACCGGCCTGGGGATTATGCTCCAATCACTGAACCTCTCGGGGCCTCGGTTTCTCTGCCATGTGAAGCCCATTAGACCTTATACCTCAGACGAGGCTGGGAAAGCCTTCACAGAGGACCACGTGCCGGGGACATTGAACAATGACCCTCAGCCTTAGAAATGGGGAGACAAGTACTGCTTTGGATTCAGTGCTCCCCGGTAAGCAGGCAGAGGGGGCGATCCAAACGCAAAGCTGCAAAGGTGAGTCTCTCCACCCCCAAAAGATCAATGGGCTCCCACTGTCTGCAACTTCTTTTCATGTGATCCCTGGAAGCATGCTGTGTGTGTGTGTCCCAGTGTGACGAGAGGCTCACAATATATTCCATCAGGAAAGCACAACAAAATTCAGCACTGGGCTGAGGGGACATTCAGCCTCCCGGGACTGTGTCTGTAGCTTTTGGGACAGAAACCCAGAAGGGCTCACCCAGCCCCGCATCCTAAGGAAGGATGATCCTTGCCCCTGGGGCCAGGGATGTGGCTAAAGCGAGTCTGGCCCAGCCCCTAATGCAGACCCCCTCCCCCCTCCCCCCTCCCCCCCCCCCCCCCCCCCCCCCCCCCCCCCCCCCCGCCCCCCCCCCTCAGGCGCCAGCACGGGGATGTAGTAGAGCTGAAGACTGAGTCTGGGGGTGAGGCAGAACTTCTGGGTCTCCCGTTTCCTGGCAAAGGGGGCAGTAGAACACGGGGTGAGGGCAGGGCCTTGGGCTTCAAACAGTTCCACATCCTGGTTGTGCTGTGTATTATCTCTCTGGCCTTTGAGAAATCTACTGAATCTCTGAGCCTGTTTTCTCACCTGTAGAATGGGTGCAGTAGTGGTGATGAGGAGTGCTAGGCTCATGAGAACGTAAAGTGCTGAGCCGGTGAGCGCAGGGCCCCATGGTGCTGAGCGGCACCTGGGCCCCGCCCCCAGCCCATGTGCCGCACCGGGGCCCCGCCCCCCAGCGATCCTTTGGCACCTGGGCCCCGCCCCAGCCCCTGCCCCGCCCCTGGGCCCCGCCCCACAGCTTTCTCGTGGCCCCTGGGCCCCGCCCCCAGCCCCCGCACCGCCCCTGGGCCCCGCCCCCAGCCCCCGCCCCGCCCCTGGGCCCCGCCCCCCAACGCTCCCGTGGCCGCTGCGACCCGCCCCCAGCCCCTGCGCCCCGCCCCCCAGCGCTCCCGTGGCACCTGCGCCCCGCCCCCAGCCCCCGCCCCAGCCCCTGCGCCCCGCCCCCCGCGCTCCCGCGGCCCCTGCGCCCCGCCCCCAGCCCCGCCGGCCCTACCTGAGGCTGTGGTAGGCCTGCGCCAGGCGCCCCAGCATCCTGTCGTCGCCCAGCACCAGCACCCTGGCCGTGTGCAGCCGGGACACGCCGGGCAGCAGCTCGCCATCCCCGCTGGGCCTGCCCGTCCTGCGGTGCAGACCCGGGGGCCCGTCCCAGCACGCGGGCGTCAGGACGTCCGGGAGCCGCACCCGCTTCTTGATGCCGCCTTTGCGCTGCAGCCCCGCGCGCTCCGTCTCGGGGCTGCCGGGGACGGGCAGCTCGTCAGCCCCCGGGGCGAGGTCCCGCTCGATGCCGCTGTCGGTGGACAGCACGGACACCCGGGCCAACTCCCGGTCCGGCCAGAGGCCCTGCAGGTCCAAGGCCTCCAGGTCAGCGCTGAGGCACAGCTGGGACCTGGGGCGCAGGAAGAGCACCAGTTCCTTCCCTGGGGTGCAGAGAGCAGGGGAGAGGTTACGGGGGGCCGGCAGGGCCTCCCCCCGGCGAGGCCTGCGCTTCCGTGTTTCTGTTTTCAGCTGAACAGAAGCCCCGCAAGATGCCCCACGAAGGAACAAAGGTCCTGTGGTGAACAGAGATGGAGAACCTCGCATATTCCTGCCACCTCTTGCGGAGTGAATGTATTAAAGGCTCTGAGAAGTCCTGCAGGAGTCAGCTACACTCGGTGCCTCCCACGTAGCTGACCCTGGAGCCGTCTTTTATTAGCTTCCTCCTACCGCCCTACTGCCTGCGGCTTCCCCTGGGACACAGAGAACAGGCCCTGCCTACTCCAGGAAAGACTTCTAGGCTTTTCTTTCTTTTTAAAAAATGTGTTTTATTTTTGAGAGACAGAGTGCGAGGAAGACAGAATCTGAAGCAGCTCCAGGCTCTGAGCGTCAGCACAGAGCCCCACGCGGGGCTTGAACTCACAAACGGAGAGATCATGACCTGAGCCGAAGTTGGATGCTTAACTGACTGAGCCCCCCAGGCGGCCCTAGGCTTTTCTAGTCTACTTTCATTTTATTACCCACGAGGAAACTGAGGCCCAGAGAGAACTCGGAGTCAGTCTAGGATGACCCGGCCATGAAAGGAGGGACTTGGGACCTAGGTCACCAGCCCAGCACTTCCTACCATAATCCGCACCCCCCCCCCCCAACCCCTTGAGAAGAGCCAGGGTCAGTGTGACGCGACTCTGGAAAGTCCCCTCCAGCTCCTGGGGCTGTGATGTTTGTGTGACTGCCTCCTTCTTGGGGACATTCGTTGTCGGCACCAACTTGGGCACGTGGCACTTTGTAGGTGCCTGAGGCCAGTGGCTAATGCACCGAGCTATTCCGGCATAGAGAAAATGTGTTCTTCCAGACGTGCAGACAGCTCAGGGAGCAAGGGGCACGCGCGCGCGCACACACACACACACAGTAGATACAGACACGATACACAGTCACACAGACACAGACATAGACCTCTAGACCCATGAAAACACAGCTGCGCTCATGCGCACACACATACACACACAGACACACACACACAGTAGATACACAGACACGATACACAGTGACAGACACAGACATAGACCTCTAGACCCATGAAAACACAGCTGCGCTCATGCGCACACACATACAGACACAGACACACACACACAGTAGATACACAGACACGATACACAGTCACAGACAGACACAGACATAGACCTCTAGACCCATGAAAACACAGCTGCGCGCACGCACACACACAGACACACACACACAGTAGATACACAGACACGATACACAGTCACAGACACAGACATAGACCTCTAGACCCATGAAAACACAGCTGCGTGCGCACACACACACAGACACACACACACAGACACACACACACAGTAGATACACAGACACGATACACAGTCACAGACAGACACAGACATAGACCTCTAGACCCTGAAAACACAGCTGCGCGCGCGCACACACACACACGAACGCGCACACACATGCTGGAAAACACACACACTCCCAGCGCTGCCCACGGTGGAGCGTGAGGCGTGGCACTTACAGAGCTGCTCCTCATCCGTCCACAGGTGGAAGGTGATGTGGGGGCTGGGCAGGGGGATGCTCGGCTGCGGGTCCTGCAGGGGGTCACCTGAAGGAAGGGGGGGCGCTGTGGGACTCTCCCCTCCCCTCCCCTGCAGCTCCCAGAGGCCCGGAGGGGGTGCAGAGACCCTCTCTCCCGTCTGGCCCAGCCCAGCCTTCTTCCTTAGCCCGGGACCGTCCAAGCTCCTGGGCGCCCCGGGGGCCCCGGGGTCCCGCCCGCCTCAGCCCCGCGCGGCAGGTGCAGCGCGCCCTCTGGCGCCCCCTGCGGGCCCTCGGCGGCCCCGCCCGCTTACCGCCGCAGCGCCCCCTGGCGGCCGCCGCCGGCCCCAGCAGCGAGCAGTAAATCTCCTCCAGCCTCTCCAGGTGCCCCTCGCGGCTCGGGCTGGGCTCGCTGGCCATCTGCTCCACGGCTGCCACCACGGCGTGGAAATAGCGCTCCAGGGCCTGGCGAGGGCTGGCCTGTGGGGGAGGGGCGCCGAGCCTGGGTCCCGGCCCCGCACCCACCCGCCCCGCCTCCTTCTCCGGCCCCCACACTGTGGGGCCCCCAGGGGGGCAGGGGTGGCCGCCCTTGGGTCACCGTCCCGCCCCCATCTGCATGGAACCTCCAGGAAGGCAGGGGTTTGTCTGTTTGCAGTTGCAACCGCAGCACCTGGGACATCTCCGGGCATACAGTGGGTGCTCAATAAATAGCCGCTGAGTCTTTTCCTAAACTGTTACTTGTTACCTTGACATGCCACCTATATGATTATTTTCTCGCTGTTTTTCTTCCAATCAGCTCCCTTTGGTTCAGAACTATTTCAGAAGGACACCTTATGTTGGTCGTCTATATAGAAAGCCTAGTGTCACGCATCCTAGGTGGAAAATAACTAAGATGAATATAATAATAATAATTCAAAAACCACCATTTTTAACTTCCGGCAGCTACTGTGGCCGACAAGGCTTCACGGCTTGAAGTTTGCCTTCTCTTTTTGAAAAGGGAAGTTAGGGGCGCCTGGGGGGCTCAGTGGGCCTAAGCGTCCGGCTTGGGCTCGGGTCATGATCTCACGGGTCGTGGGTTCGAGGCCCGTGTTGGGCTCTGCGCTGACAGCTCGGAGCCTGGAGCCTGTTTTGGATTCTGTGTCTCCCTCCCCCGCTTGCGCTCGCTCGCGCTCTCTCTCTCTCTTTCTCTCTCTCAAAAACAAATAAACCTAAGAAAGAAAAGGGAAGTGAGTGTTAAAGAAGTTAGGGGTGAAACACGAAAGCTGAGCCTTTCCCCTTAATGGGAATTAACGGGAACAGGTTTTGAAAGCCTCTCACTGCGCATTCCACGCCCTTCAGTGCCACAGCCCCTCCCTCCCGTGGTGCAGACCTGAACCCCCCACAAGTGCCCTGCGTTGTGTTCTCTGTCTCCCCTCACCCCTGCCCAGCGCCAACCAGTCCCATCTCCGAGCTTCGCAGGTGCGGGGCTCAAACAAGCCCACAGCCAGTCACGCCAGGGCTTGCTCTCATCTCTGGCCTGGGCTGGGGGTCTGCTGGGTGGGACCCTAACTTCCTGACTGAGGGAGAGAGGGTCATTCCGCCTGGCCGGGGCTCCAGTAAATATTCGCGGAACGAACAAATAATGCAACGAGCGGATTATAGAATCAGAGTTGGCAGGGGCCATCGGGTCCAGTTTATCTCGTTGCTTAATTTATAAATACACTAATTACGCGTTTTTTGAGCACCCACGACATGCCATGCAGTGTTCTAGATGCTGGGATACAGCTGCGAACAAAACGGATAAAAATTCCTATTCCCAGGGAGTTTATATTATGGTGTATTTCTCTCCCCCCCATGGTAATAAACAAGATAAGTAAAATTTATACATAATAAATTGCAGAGAAGGATGTGAAATTGAGGGGAGGGGCTGAAATTTTAGGTAATGCCATCAGGGAAGTCTCACTGGCAGGTGACTTTTGAGTTAAGTCCTAAAGGAAGGGAGAGAGCGAGCCATGTGGATATCTGAGAGAACATTCCAAGCATAGGAAACAGCACGTGCAAAGGCCCTGGGGTGTAAGCACGCCTGGCATGTTTGAGGGACAATGAGGAGACCTATGTAGCTGGAGCAGAGTGGAAGAGAGAGAGAGAGTATAGGAGATGGAATCAGAGGGGACATGAGGAGGTGGGGACAGATCTCGAGGGTCTCATAGGCCACCGTAATGATGTCTTTGGCTTTGACTCCACCCACTATAGTGTGGTAAAAGCCATGGTGGCTGCCGGATTCCCACCTTCAAGACTGAGGCACTGATTAGACCCGCTTCGGGGAGTGTTAGCAACTGTCGGCTGTCAGCTGCGGTCCCTTCCAAAGTCAGCCTCAGGCGAGGTCGTGCCCCCTTCCTGAGGGCCGTCCACATCCAATAACTAATAGACGTGGGCGTATAAGGGCCTGGCCCCTCACCCTAATTCAGGACAACTGTATACAGAGCTTGGTATTTCTCTCTGCTAAAAAGGGGGTGGTGGGGCGGTGGGGCCGGGAGGCGGTGGCACATAGGTTTGAGGTCAGAGAGATCTGGGTTCAAATCCTGACCCGGCCCCTTTGTATCTGTGTGACCACGGGTAGGTTATCAACCTCTCTGTGCCCCAGGGCTAATGATTACATCCATTTCTCGCTGTGGCTGAGATGCTGCGAGGATGTTTCCATGTGATACACGGAGGTGCCTCAGGCACCGTCTGCGATGCCACCGACACCCGGCCGGCCCGGCTGTTAGGATTATCGTTGTGTTATTAGGGACACAGACCCAAGTGTGAATTGGTAACGTATCCGGGTGGAGGGGGGTGAGTGATTTCTATTTCCTGCGTGCATCCCCCCCCCCGCCCCCCGCCCCCCGCCCCCGCCCCCGCCCCCAAGGCCCCGCGCGCCGCCAGGAGGGCTGCGGCGGGGCGGTCACCTGCAGCGTCCTCTGCAGGGCGCCGGCGTGGCAGGCGTCGCCCAGGCCGGCCCGCAGGGCGTGCGAGACCACGTGGCGCATGCAGGCCTCCGGCGTCTGCTGCTCCTGGGCAGCCTCGAGCTCCAGCAACAGCGCGCTGCACACGGACGGAGACACCAGCTCGGGGTCCACGAAGAGGAAGGCTCTGCGGGCAGAGGTGGGTGGGGGGGGGGGGGGGGGGGGCGGAGCGCGCCCGGGTGGGCCGCGTCGGCTCGGTCGGTGGAGGGTCCCCCTCTTGATTTCTGGCCCAGGTCACCGTCTCGCGGTTCGTGGGATTGAGCCCCGCGTCGGGCTCTGCGCTGACAGTTTGGGATTCTCTCTCTCTGCCCTTCCCTCTCTCACTCCCCCTCTTTCTCAAAAATAAATAAATAAACTTAAAAAAATTGCTACTAATAAGGAGAAGTGGGGACCGTAGCAAATCAGAGGGCAGGCGGGAACCACTGGTCCCCATAGGGTCCCCCCTAGTCTGGTGTCCAGGTAAGTCCTGACCTGAACCCTGTTCCCGCCCCTCCCCCCACCTCAGCTCTGGGGTCCACTGATGACATCACTCTTCAGGAGGGACCCCAATTCCTTCCTGCCCTAGCGGGCTCTGGACCCCGAGTGAGCCCCACCCCTGCTCCCCTGCCCGGCTCCCAGCTCCCCTGGGCCTCTCCACCTCACCCCCCTGCACCCGCCATGAACACAGCCTCAAGCCACGCCTTCCAGGGCCAGGGCAGCGGCGGCACCCTCAGCGACACCCGCCCCCCGCCCCCACACCCACAGTGGGCTTTTCCCCAATCTTATCGGAAGGGCCAGGCGCCCACAGACGAAAGCCCCAGATTTCAGGGTGTGATTGTGGCCTGAGCTACAGACACCCCGGAGCCACCCCGGGCTGTCTGGCTGGTCGGTGCTTCGTCACGGTCAAGGGTGGGACGGAAGCGGAGCAGCACAGCTCCAGGGTGGCCCATGCTCACGTCACCCCTGCGTGCAAGCGGGCGGGAGGGGTCTGTGTGTGTGTGTGTTCTGAGCCAGCCCCAGAAGAGTCCCCCACCCTGCTACCTGCATCTCCAGAGAAGGCCGGCCCCGCCCCCCACCCCCCCACGGGACAAATGTCACGGACGGGAAGCTCTGCAGGTGTTCTTCTCCCCCCGGCCCTGTCCCCGTCAGGGAACAGCCGGAGGGGGCGGAGGGCAGCGACTTTCGGGGCCACTCACCTCTCCTGGTAGGGATACAGCTCACTCGTCAGGTTCTGCTCGGCAATGACCAGCCTTTGGTACAGTGTCCCTGCAGAGCAGACCCGGTCAGCCGACCGACCCCGGTCTCTGGCCTCCGCTCCGCACCCTCCACAGAAGGTGCTGGGACTTTTGAGCTCCAGGCCCAGGAAAAAGCAAGACTGTGGTCGGAGCCACAGAGCAGCCCTCACCTGGGACAGTTCTCACCTGGGACAGTTCTCACCTGGGACGGCCCTCACCTGGGACGGCCCTCACCTGGGACAGTTCTCACCTGGGACAGTTCTCACCTGGGACGGCCCTCACCTGGGACGGCCCTCACCTGGGACGGCTCTCACCTGGGACGGCCCTCACCTGGGACGGCTCTCACCTGGGACGGCCCTCACCTGGGACGGCTCTCACCTGGGACTGCGGTCTCGGTTTTCAGCCTTACGGCGCAGTCCAAGGCGACCGTGCAGTAGGGGGCGGGCAGGGTTAGCAACCTTGTGCAGAAGGTATAGGTTCTCTGGTAGAGTTCCTCTGTGATGCCCGTGGCCTGGGTGGGAGGGGGGAGTTGGGTGCCCAGAGCCCTAGGTCACAAAGGGTGCTGGGTGGGCGGGAGGGTGGGGTGGAGAGGAGGAAAGGAAGGTCTGACAGCCAGACCTGGGCTCACTCCTGCCTCCCAAACGTTCACCCCCAGCCTCTTCGCCCAGCACTCGGAAGCACTTCACACCACCTCTCGGACACCCCGCTCCACCGCACCCTGTTCTGCTAGCAAATCCACCCCCTTCACACCCCTCTGCCTGTCCGGGCAGCACATTCCTGCAGGGATCCAGGCTCAGAACTTGGAGTCTCGTCTCCAGCCTGCTGGGCTCCATATCCCACAGGCATGATGCTCCCAGTGCAATGCCCAGGGGCTCCGCTTCCTCCTCAGCCTCCTGCCTTGGCCCGAGCCCAGCCCCCTCCTGCCCCTGGATTCTAGAAGCTCCTGGACCGTTCTTCCTGCCCCTCATCTCCCTCGCTGCCCACTCCCACCCCCTGAAACTATACACAGCTCCTGGTCGCTGCTGTCACGACATTTTCTCGGCGGCTTGTCCCTCCTCTGAGCAGGGATCAGAGACCTCATCCTGGCATTCATGGCTCGCAGGCATCCTACATACTGCTTTCCCCACTTCCACCCCAGCACCCCCCTTTGTGAACTAGCGGCAGGGCCCGGCTAGTGTGGAGAAGCCAGGGTGGGGCAGGCGATGCGAGAATCCTCCCGGCGCGCCCAGGCAGAGACCGGGCATCCATCTCCTGTGGGAGAGCAGAGTGCTGGCCCTGCTGCGTGTGGGTCACCACGACCGCCCTGACCTCCAGCGCCAGCTCACCTTAGTGACCACGTACATTAGCGTGTGCAGCAAGGGAATGATGACATGCCGGATGTCCTCGCTTTCCGCCTGGAAAACAGGGAGTCACGGGCATTTACTGGTCTGGGGGCCCAGGGGTGGGGGCTGGGAAGACCTGGGAGCCGAGCGTGGGGGCATCCACTCACGACGGGGGGTGGGACAAAGCACCAAGCCAGACCCCCTCCCCCTCTCCCACGTGGAGGCTCCCTGAGCGCAGCATTTGCCAAACGGCTGTGCTCAGAACAGCGTCATTTTAGGCGGTCCTTGAATGATCTCGGGGGTGTCCTAAACGCGTGCATTTCTGCGTATCGATACTGTCTGTCTCTGCAAGTGGGGGGCTTTTCCATTTACGGTCCTTGGGGTGGGGAGGCTAAGTCAGGTGAGAGGACGGGCATCAAGATAAAGAAAATATCACTCACAGAAGCATCCAGAAGGGGGACACGGCTGGTAAACCTCCTGCTGGTCATCCACAAGTGACCACAGTCTGGGGGATGCAGCTTGGCCTTCCCCCCCCGCCTCCCCGAAGCCCCAGAACCCACCTTCTCCAGCTCTCTGAGCAGAATGCGGACCAGAGCTGGACTCTTTCCCGGATCTCGCTCTACCTTCTTGTGCAGGGACCACCGCCACATGCCTGGCCAGGAGAAAGGGGACCCAGACCGTGACTCTGATGAGCCATGGGTCTGACCCCTCCGCTGGGCATGTGGCTCTGGGGCACCTGGGTGGGCTCCTCACCATGGAATTCTGCTCTATTTGAGGACAGGGAGCTCTTGGGGACAGAGGTGTGTGCATGTGGCTAATGTTTGCAGGTCAGCACCTCGGGCCACGTTTCTGGGAGTCACGCGGGCCCGGAGGGTCAAGGGGAATTTGGTTTACGGGGTGGGGGCTGGAAGGTGGTTGGGAAGGACCTTGGCAGGGGCGACGCACTGGCTCTCACCTCGGTTGCTCTGCAAGGCGGGGGCCTGGGCGCTCAGCTCCCGCAGCACAGCCTGCACACTCCGCTGGAGATCAAGCTCAGCGTCTGGGCAGCGGTGGGGGGGGGGGGCGAGCATTGAGGCCAAGAGCTTTGGAGTCCCCGGCTCGCCCCTCGCCCCCGCCTCTGCGCTCCCGGAGACCATCTTCAGCCCCGTCTCCAAGCCCCGAGAGGTGCCCCAAAGTGACCAGCTCGGAGCAGGGAGCGAGCACACGGCTTTCAATCGGCATCTCCGTGTTCTCCGTAAATCCAGAGCGCTGTCAGCTGGCGGTACATGGGGTGGTTGTATAGGGCACTCAGACGGTCCTAAAATCATAGAATCACTATGCCCTGATTTTAATGTGTGTTCAGAAAAAAATGTTTCTTTAAAAAAATTTGTTTTTCTAATGTTTTATTTATTTGTGTGTGTGTGAGACAGAGAGACAGCATGAGCAGGGGAGGGTCAGAGAAAGAGGGAGACACAGAATCCGAAACAGACTCCGGGCTCTGAGCTGTCAGCACAGAGCCTGACGCGGGGCTCGAACCCACGAACCGTGAGATCATGACCTGAGCCGAAGTTGGACACTTAACCAACTGAGCCCCCCAGGCGCCCCTAATGTTTATTTATTTAATTTGAGAGAGAGAGAGAGAGAGAGGGAGGGAGAGAGAACCCTAAGCAGGCTCTCCTGGGTCAATGCAGAGCCCTATGTAGGGCTTGAACCCACGAACCATGAGATCATGACCCAAGCTTGAATCGAGATTTGGACTCCCAGGCACCCCCCAAAAAATATTTCTAAGGAGTTCCTCAATCTATTCATGAAGTGAAAACTTAAAGTCAGCTGAAAGAAACAGGTCAGATAAATGCTGGGGCAGAGTCTCCTCCCCCCATCACATGAACTCAGGCTCCTCTAAACCACCTTCCCCACCAGCTCCCGCCCCCATCTTAGCCCCTGTCCTGTCTTCCACCTGCCTGGACTAGTTTATTTTTTTATTAAAAATTTTTAATGTTTTATTTATTTTTGAGAGAGAGATAGAGCCAACGTGAGCAGGGGAGGGACAGAGAGAGAGGGAGACACAGAATCTGAAACAGGCTCCAGGCTCTGAGCCGTCAGCACAGAGCCTGACACGGGGCTCGAACCCATGAACCGTGAGATCATGACCTGAGCTGAAGTTGGGCGCTTGGCTGACGGAGCCCCCCAGGCGCCCCACGCCTGGACTAGATTTAGCAAACCCCCCCACCCCCCTTAGCAGGAATCTGTACCTTCCCCCTCCGTGTCTCCTCCTAGTGATTTTCCATCCGCTCACCCCTCGCTGTAAGTCCCCAGCTGTCTGTGAGGCAGTTGTGGAAGAATGAGAGGCTGATGTGGGGAAGTGGCGGGGGTAGCAGGGAGGGGACCCCTCGCCCCCTCCCACTGGTGTGGGGCCACACGGCCGGCCACCCCGGAGAGCTGCAGCCTCTCACAGTCTCCTCCTTGGACACTGGGGCCCTTCTCTTTCTCCTTACCTTGGAGCCGGGGGTCAGTCTCACCCACTCCTTTTCCTGCCCCTAAGACGTGCCCCCACCTAGATCCCCGCATGGCCGCCATGTCGTGGCATCTGCTTCGCAGAGGCTCTGGACTAATGCAGGAAGTTCGAGAAATGCTCTCTGCACCACAGATGCCTCTCTGCCACCAGCTCCCATCGGGAGGCTGAATTGACAGCCAGCGTGCGTTCTTCGGCCCTTGGACGCTGCAAACCACACGCCTGTCTGGGCTTCCTCTTTTGCTTCATGCTCGGGAAACCTACGGTCAGACTGGGGCCCCGCGTCACGAATCAGCTCATCTCAGGAGTCAGGGACCTTTCCTCCTGGATCCTCTGCTGCTCTTGCTTTACATCCTACGTAGATCTCTTTTTTTTTTTCTTAATTTTTTAATATTTATTTCTGAGACAGAGACAGAGCACGAGTGGGGGAGGGGCAGAGAGAGAGAGCGAGAGAGAGAGAGAGAGACACAGACTCCGAAACAGGCTCCAGGCTCCGAGCTGTTAGCACAGAGCCCAACGCGGGGCTCGAACTCACGAGCTGTGAGATCATGACCTGAGCTGAAGTCAGACACTCAACTGACTGAGCCACCCAGGCGCCCCTTAACGTAGATCTTAATTGCTTCAAATTCTTTTGGAAGCGAGCAGAATGGGGATCACAGGGTTTACAAATCAGTGGGTTGTATAGTTCAGGAGTTAGAATGGGTTTAGCCAAGGACCCAGGGTGAGCCAGGGCACGGGGACTGGCCCCCCCAAGGCCGTGGTGTGGGGTCTGCGGCGTTGGCCAGAGCCACCTGGCATCTCCAAAGCCCTCGCCTTCCACCTGCCTCTCACTTGCGCCTTGGACCCCTTCAAGGCCTGTTCCTGAGTCTCCCTGAGGCTGAGCGTGGGCACAAGCTGTCAGAGCCCCCGTCTGCCCGCCCAGCCACCCTGCTGGGCACTGGCAACGAGATCATCAAGCCTGGAACGAAGCCTGGCCGCAAGCTGTCTTTCCATTTACCTGTCTCCACCTTGCATGCAGACTGAATGAGTCAGTGCAGCCTGAGTTATGCAAACATGATGTTATGTCTACTTTCTCCTTTCCTCCTTCCTTCCTCCTCCCTTCCCCTCCTTCCTCACCGAGGGCTGCACAGGCTGGGAGCCCCCTCCCCCGAAGGGCAGCCAAGCCTTTGTCTTCTGAGCCCTGGGCTCCTCCGCTTTGCAAAGGGACTTAAGCTTTTACGTTTCAGAGGAAAAAAAAATAGAGAAGTTTCCAGCAGCCCCAGGAGACAACCCTAAATAAGGTGCGTATTCGAAAGTCTGGGCAGCGAGAACAAACTCTGAGGCTTTGGGTCTGCATCTGGCTTGCAGACGTCTTTTGTTTGGGCTGGTAGAGTGTCTCGAAGGAAAGAAGAAGAAGAAGAAAAAGGAATCAGCTGTCAACATTTACAGACCAGGAGATTTTGCTTAAAAGTTTGGGTGTCCGGCATCTCCTGGAAGTCTGATGACATGAGACATGCATTCTCACAGGTGGCAATTGACGGGGCACCACGACTCTGGGCCTTCACGGAGCCTCCTCTCCTGGTTTCGCTCATCCACACCCTCTACCTGGGCCCCTGAGTTTGAGACCCCTGTTGAGGGGGGCTGAGACAATGAGCTGGATTATCTCAGAGGGATGGGGGTGAAGCCTGATGCTCTTAGTTCTAGAGGAGAGTGGTGGCCCAAAGGGGAGGAGGGAGGCTGGAGTCCCCTGGATTGGGGAGCTCAGACCAAGGCTGGCTGGGACACAGCTTACCGGCTGTGCCAAAGAGCTCAGCAGAAGGCAGGTGAGCACGAAACTCTGACCTTGAGGGTCACAGCTGTGGTCTCCTGGGTCACCCTGGCCAGCGCGCAAGAATGTCCCCAAAGGGGCCCTCTCTCTCCCTATGCACCATGCAAGCCTGGCCAACCCGCTGGGGATGCTGAAGCTACAGAGGACTGAAGACCATGGACTTTTCCATCATGAAGACTTTGTAACCCCTTGGGCTTACAAGATCACAGACAGGGAGACCCACCCCCAAGTGAATGACATTGGAATGGGTACTGACCTTGGCAAAGGAGAGCTTGAAGCTGGATTTAATTGCATTAAGCAAAAGAAAGAAATGGGGTATTTCTTGCGCCTTGAGGGTCCCAGGGTTGTTCATATATAACATGCACGTCTGTCATCATTCTTGACTCAGAATGGCCAGTAAATAAATAAAAATCCCTAATTATTATCCTCCCCGCCACCCAGGAATGTGGGATACTGTCACAGTACTATTAATATCTAACATTTAAATAGCATTTGAGGGGCGCCTGGGTGGCTTAGTCGGTTAAGCGTCCGACTTTCGCTTAGGTCATGATCTCACAGTTTGTGGGTTCGAGCCCCGCGTCGGGCTCTGTGCTGACTGCCAGCTCAGAGCCTGGAGCCTGTTTCAGTCTGTGACTCCCTCTCTCTCTGACCCTCCCCTGCTCACGCTGTCTCTCTCTCTCCTAGAAATAAATAAAAAAAAAACAAAAAACAAAAAAAATAAATAAATAGCATTTGAAAGGCACACACACAGAGGGGTGGCAAGACAGCATTATGTGTTCACCAAACAATTTCATGCTTGTTGCGGGTAGACGGGAAGACTACATTTCCCAGACTCCCCTGCAGTTACGGGAGCTGTGTGCTGAGTCCTGTCCAATGGAATACCGTAGACACGGCGTATGACACATTCAGGCCCGGTCCTAAAATCCTCTGCACTAGCCTCCTCCTCTCTTCCCATTCCGTGGTGACCCTGGGAGACACATTCAAGATGGCAGCCCCCCAAGAAGGAAGGAGAACTCAGTCCCTGGAAGACTGGAGCCCACGTTGGATGGCCATTGAGGAATAAGCACTTGTGGTGCTAATCCACTGACACTGGGGTTATTTGTTACGGCAGCTAGCCTTCTCTGACCGACGCGTGGACTTGCAGAGGATTTTCTGGTATATTATCCCCTTGAATTCTGAGCAGAGAGCCCTAGGTGTCTGCCCTGCAAATATTCTTCTCCCTGTTTTGTAGATTTCAGGTCTTGAGCTCTTACCCTTGCCCCAGGTTGCCTCTCCAAGCACAGAGGTCAGACCCAGAGGGACCTGAGAGGCCCTCGTCCCATTTTACAGATGGGAAAATGAGGCTCAGAGGGAAGAGGTGATTGACATAAGGCCACGGAGCTGTTGGAGTGAGCTTTCTCTTTGGCAAAGGCTCTTCCTCTAAAGCTGCACTTTTACATGTGTTGCTTCACCTGCTCACCCAGAGAAGGGAGAGGAGGGAATTCCCCGGTGAGAGGATGAACATATGCGTTATCTATGTGCGCCTGGGCTTTGAATGCTTAGATTCAATGCCCTGGATAAAGTCGCCTGGGCAAAGATTCCCAGCTCTCAAGCCAGAGTAGGTGTTATGAGGCTGAGGAGCCAATAGGGAGGGATGGAGATGAAAGGTGTCAGGGTTCTGACTGTTGGATGACCCTCTTAATTCAAGGTCCACTCTTCAATTTCCGGCCATTCAACGCTGCACTAGAACTTGACCAGTCCAGCTCTCCGTGATCCCAGACAGAATCTGATCTCTCCCAACCCCCTTGTAGGCTGTTTGCCTTTTCCCTCCTTCCCAACGTGAGCAGATTTCTTATAATAAATCTCATTCTAGAGGCACCTGGGTGGCTCAGTCAGTTAAGCGTCCGACTCCGGATTTCAGCTCAGGTCATGATCTCACGATTTGTGAGACTGAACCCCATGGCGGGCTCTGTGCTGACAGAGTGGAGCCTGCTTGGGATTCTCTCTCTCCCTCTCTCTCTGCCCCTCTCCCCTCTAGAAATAAATAAATGTTAAAAAAAATAAATCTCATTCCATATATGTGTATATATCCTACGGGGGCTTCTTCTCTGGAGAACCCTAGCTAACACACATCGGGAAAGCTGGGAGAATCATCAAACTTAGTATTTCCTTAGCCTTCTACAGCCGGGGAGCAGTATGGGCGGGGGGCATGGCCATCCAGATGAAAGGGTTACAGGGAACCTCAGGTCACTTGGGACACACAAAATTATTAAAAATTTTTTTAAATGTTTACTTATTTTGAGAGAGAGAGAGCGAGCGAGCAGGGGAGGGGCAGAGAGAGAGGGAGACACAGAATCCGAAGCAGGCTCCAGGCTCCAAGCTGTCAGCACAGAGCCCAACGTGGGGCTCGAACTCACGAACCGTGAGATCATGACCTGAGCCGAAGTCAGTCACTTCGACTGAGCCACCCAGGCACCTGGAGGACACACAAAATTATTACCCAAGAGGTTGAATTAGCAATCCCAAAAGGGACGTTTCCCTCAAACTAGGGTGTTGAAAAGAATTTCCCTTTTCTGCTTTCTGGGTATCAGCGGCCAGAATCAGCACCCCCTCTCTGGATGGAGATGGGAAATGCACCCACAAATTCTTTCTGGTCCCCTCTCATTTAACATCCCTATAAAATCACTAACCCTGGGTCCCGTTACTTCATGCCAGGTGAGTCGTAAAATAATCGAGGAGAGCATGTTCACATGTGTCCCGATTGGTACATTGATTTGCATTTCAGAGGGTGGCTTTTCCCTGACCTTGACCCCCGGGCTGGGTTCTGTTCTCCCAGATTTCACGAGCCCCTGCATGCTGACCACCTGGGCCTCGTGAACTGCCCCCCCACCCCCACCCCGATGTTCCCATAGCTCCATGTCAGCATCTCAGCTGCTACTGACATCTGCCCTCGGCACCCAGATGCACCATTGGCTGGAGTAATGTGGTCACGCTTCTCTGTCACCCCCACGCCCGGTCCCCTTGACCCCCACTTAGAAAAAGGGCTCAGATTGTTCAAAAAAGCTTTGCATTCTTGTCCCTGTTTGCAGGGAGGGCCGAATAACAATAACTTGGGTGCCCTTGGGATGCTGCTCTTTGGCGTCCCTCCAAATAAATACCTTACTTTTCAGGGGCCCCTCTTCTGAACTCTGGGATGAGAGAACCCCTTAGGGCTACAGGAAGGTGGGGAAGATTCTAGACACTTCCAGGTTAATAAGGTGCGAAGAGCCTGTGTTTCACAATGAGCTGTGGCTTTGCCACTTACTAGCTGTGTAGCTCTGAGCAAATTCCCTAACCTCTCTGAACCTCCATTGCCCTTTTCAATAAAACAAGAACAACGGCATTGATACCATGCTGCAGAGAAGCTTCTGACGTCCACACGGGTAAATCCACAGTGAAATCATTAAGTGAATGGCGCTGGGGCTAGATTGCTGGGGTCAAGTCCTAGTTTGACTGTACAAAGCTATGTGGTTTTGGGAGTAATACCTGTCGCCTCTGGGCCTCACTTTCTCCTTCTGTAAAATGGGAGCGATGACAACATCTCTCTCATGGGGTCTTTATGAAGACTACATGAGTTGATATTTGTCAAGGGCTTTTATCACTACTTGATAGATGACAAGACAGGTGTCGTTAAATAAATGCAAGCATCTGGCGATAGATCCCGGCTATTTTTTTTTTTAATGTTTTATTTATTTCTAGCAGAGAGAGAGACAGTGAGCAGGGGAGGGTCAGAGAGAGAGGGAGTCACAGACTGAAACAGGCTCCAGGCTCTGAGCTGGCAGTCAGCACAGAGCCCGACACGGGGCTCGAACCCACGAACCGCGAGATCATGACCTAAGCGAAAGTCAGACGCCCAACCGACTAAGCCACCCAGGCGCCCCCGATCCCTGCTATTATTTATCGCCATAGTCCCCAGTGTCCAGCTCCATGACCTGTAAGCAGCCGGGGCTCACACAGTGTGTGGATGTCCACTTCCCAAGATGTTCTCACATTTGGGCGGCTGAGATGGGGAACCAGGCGAAGGTGGTCCCCCCGGCCCCGGGAGATACCGCCACCTGCGGGGGAGGCCTTCCCCTGCTAGGCAGCCAGACGCACCCAACCCCTCTGTCCCCCCCTCCGGCCACACTGACCTGAACTCTCCATGGGAGCCTGGGGTGTGTGTCAGCAGGATGTGGTTGTCTCAGGCAGCAGAGTGGAAAGTAAAGCGGTTGCTTTTCCTCACAGAGGTGGTTCTGCAAAATGAGAGGCCGTTAGTGGCGGAAAGGTCCAGAAAGTATATCTGGGGGCTGGAGGGGTTCCTGGGGTCCCAGCCTTCTAGCATGTTGGAGGCAAGCCTTCATTTATTTAAGAAATTCTTCTATGATGCTGGCTGTGTGCCCGGTGCCCTTCTAAACACTTAGAAACTACCAACTCTTTAATATTCACACTAACCTGATGAGGTGGGTACTATTTTCTCTCCATTCTACAGATGGGGAGATTGAAGCACAGTGAGGTTACATGACTATCGAAGCTTTGGGGCACCTTGGGGTTCCGCTGGTTAAGCGTCTGACTTCTGCTCAGGGCATGATCTCATGGTTCAGGAGTTTGAGCCCCGCATCGGGCTCGCTGCTGTCAGCACAGAGGCCACTTTGGGTCCTCCGTCTCCCTCCCTCTCTCTCTGCCCCTCTGCAACTTGTACTCTCTCTTTCTCTCTCTCAAAAAAAAAAAAAGGACTATCTGATTCTCCAGCCTGTGCCCTCAGACACGACCCCTGGCTGCCCCACTGTGACCCCCAATGGGAGGCCCCCCCAAAGCCTGCTTCCCAGAGCAACAAACTCCACAACTAAGTGACCTCCACAATAAATGAATAAAAACATACCTGGGAAAGCTAATTAGGAGAGAGGGAACATTAAGGAAATATTAGGAATGGTAAGTGCCATATACACTCAATGGAATAAAATTATAATGTACTCTGAATAATTTTAGCCTATCGATTACCCCAGAAATGAATATTAAAATGTGTTATACCATTGGCAATGTTTAGGAAAAAAACACACATATGTATCATATATATGCATATTCATATGGTATATATCAAATTTATATACATATTTATGGGAAAAAATCTGAACCCTATATATCACAACTGGGTTTTTAGGAAAATAAAATTGACACAAAAGCTCCAGATGAGTTAGGAAACTACTCATGCTAGTGATCGGTGAGTAAATAAAGAAAGTTGTCAAAGGACTAGCTCTTAAAAAGTGATGCATGAAAAAATAAATAAATAAAATAAAAATAAAAAGTGATGCATGGCTCAGATGATTCCTCGGATAAGTTCTCTCAAGCCAGCAAAGAAAAATGTTATGCTTTTACAACTGTTCGAAAGCATATAGAAAGAAGGAAAGATTCTCTGAAAAAGCCAACTTATCTCTGATAACAAAATCCAATAAAGATAGTTTTAAAAAGATATGAAGCACTCCACCTCTACTGGAACAGCTATTTAGGGGTGTTTGGGGGGCTCAGTCGGTTAAGCATCTGACCTTGGCTCAGGTCATGCCTGATCTCATGGTTCATGAGTTTGAGCCCCATGTCGGGCTCTGTGCAAATGGCTCAGAGCCTGGAGCCTGTTTCAGATTCTGTGTCTCCCTCTCTCTCTGCCCTCCCCTGCTCACAGTGTCTCTGTCTCTTTCTCAAAACTAAATAAACATTTAAAAAATTTACAAACGAAAACAACTTGGGGCACCTGGGTGGCTCAGTCGGTTGAGCATCCGACTTTGGCTCAGGTCATGATCTCACAGCTTGTGGGTTCGAACCTCGCGATGGGCTCTGTGCTGGCAGCTCAGAGCCTGGAGCTGCTTTCCATTCTGTGTCTCCCTCTCTCTCTGCCCCTCCTCGGCTCTTGCTCTGTCTCTCTCAAAAATAAATAAACATTTTAAAAGGAGAGAAAACAGGGGCTCCTGGGTGGCTTAGTCGGTTAAGCGTCCGACTTTCACTTGGGTCATGATCTCGCGGTTTGTGGGTTCGAGCCCCGCATCGGGCTCTGTGCTGACTGCCAGCTCAGAGCCTGGAGCCTGTTTCAGTCTGTGACTCCCTCTCTCTCTGACCCTCCCCTGCTCATGCTTTCTCTCTCTCTCTCTCTCCTAGAAATAAATAAAACATTAAAATTTTTTTTAAAAAAAAGAGAGAGAGAAAACAACAGAAAATAGCAAGTGTCAGTAAGGACGTGGAGAAATGTGTACCCTGGTGCACTGTGGGTTGGAATTCAAAATAGTGCAGCTATGGTAGAAAACAGTATGGGGCACCTGGGTGGCTCAGTCGGTTAAGCATCCAGCTTCATCTCGTGGTTTGTGGGTTTGAGCCCCGTGTCAGGCTGTGCTGACAGCTAGCTCAGAGCTTGGAGCCTGTCTTCGGATTCTGTGTCTCCCTCTCTTTCTGTCCCTCTCCTGCTCACACTGTCTCTCTCTCTCTCTCTCAAAAATAAATTTAAAAAAAAAAACATAAAAAAAGAAAACAGTACAGTGATTCCTCGAAAAGTTAAACATAGATTTATCATACGACCCACAAATTCCACTTCTAGGTAAATACCCAAAAGAATTGAAAATAGGGACTGTAACAGATACTTGCACACCAAGGTTCATAGCGGCATCATTCAAAATAGCCAAAAATCGGATACACTTCAGATGTCCATTAACAGCTGAATGAGTAAAAAAAAAAAAAAAGTGGTCTTACCCATACAGCGGAAAATTATTCAACCTTAAAATGAAATGAAATTTGGATCCATGCTACAACAGAGATGAGCCTTGTAAATATCATGCTAAGTGCAATAAGTCAGGCCCAAAGGACAAATATTATATGATTCTGTTTACATGAGGCACTTACAATAAGGAAATTCACAGAGACAGAAAGTGTAACAGATTATCAGGGGTTGGGGAAGGCAGAACAGGGAATTATCATTCAATGGGTACAGAGTATCTGTTTGAGATGATGAAAAAATTCTGCAAATGGACAGTGGTCATTGTACAACATTGTGAAGGTATTTAATGACACTGAATTGTACACTTTAAAATGGTTAAGAAGGAAATTTTTATGGCATGTATATTTTACTACAATAAACAAATTAAATACTAAACATTTAAATGAATGTCACTAATGAATTCAATGAATTAAAATTATAATGTATTCTGAGTAATTCTAGCCTAGAAAGGAATATTAAAATGTGATTACACATTGGCAATGATTAGAAAAGATAAAAATATCAACTGTTGCTGAGGCTGTGGAAATTTGCTCTGTTGTGGGGAGTTGGTGAGAATGGAAATTGGTATAGCTTTTCTGGAGGATAGTTGGGCAATAAGTATCAAAATTCAAAATGTGCACACTTTTTGCCTAAGCAACTCCACCATTAGGAATTTATCCTAAGGAATGTGTACAACAATGGTCACTGAAACATTGTTTATAATCAGAGAAAAAGAGAAGAAACCTAAAGGCCCAACTATAGAGTATCAATTAAGCAAACTAATCTGTGCAATGGAATACTAAACAGACATAAAAATGATGTGTAAATCTACATTTGCTGAATTGAAAAGATTTTCAGAAGTATCCATTTAAATTGTTGTCATGTTTATTCATTTATTTTGAGAGAGGGGAAGAGCAGAGAGAGAGGGAGGGAGAGAGAGAATCCCAAGCAGGCTCCAAGCTGTCAGCACAGAGCCTGACATGGGGCTTAATCTCACAAACCGTGAGATCATGACCTGACCCCAAATCAAGAGTCGGATGGATGCTCAACTGACTGAGCCACCCAGGGGCCCCTGGAGGTATTCGTTTTAAACACCAGGTAACAAAGCACTTAACACATTCCTTTTTTTTTTTTTTTTCACTTAACACATTCCTAACGCATTAATTTTTAAAACAATATATCTAATATATCAAATGTATTGTAAAAAGTCAAGAAAAAGTAAACATCAACCAGGAGGCCCTGGTTCTGGTTAACATGGAGTAAGTATACTCCTCTGTAACTTTCCAGCTCAATACAACTAAAATCTCTAGATAGCACGCATGAGGTCACTATCTGAAGATTCTGAGAAGTAAATGGCAGCAGGAAGAATTAGGAAGAAAGCCAGTATTTGAAGTAAGAATAATCTGGGAATGAGTTTCCTGCACTCCCCACCTCCCCAATATACCCTGGCCTGGACACAAAGTCATCCTGAGACTCACAAGTGAACACTTAGGGCAGACAGAAAGAGCTAGAAGAAAAGCCTTCTCTTCCTGCTGTGAAAAAAGAAAGGTCCCCAAAGGATTGGGTGGGGGAATTTACTTTTTTCTTTTGTGCTTTCTTCTGCTATAGCCTCCGGGCAATCTCGTAATGGCAGTGGTGAGCATGCAGGTAGCTAAAATCCTGAAAAAGGGAAATTATTCCCTCTGACTAGAGGAACTATAGTTCCAAGGGCATGGGAAGAATCTTTAATACATTTTCCCCCTCTATCACAGGAACAAAACCCAGAAATAACAAATAGAAGATGAATAATAAAATGGTAGACCTGAATAAAAATATACCAATAGTTATATTAAATGTAAATGGTCTAAACACACCAATTAAAAGACAGAGATTGTATGGGGTGCCAGGATGGCTCAGTCTGTGAAGTATCTGACTTTGGCTCAGGTCATGATCTCATGGTGCATGAGTCCAAGCACCAGGTCAGGCTCTGTGCTCACAGCTTGGAGCCTGGAGTCTGCTTCGGATGCTGTGTCTTCCTCTATTCTCTGTCCCTCCTCTGCTCACACTCTCTATCTCTATCTCTCTCAAAAATAAACAAAATATTTAAAAAATAAAAAAAGAAATAAACAACTCTATGCTGTTTACAATAAATCCACTTCAAATATAATGTCATAGGTAAGTTAAAAGCAACAGAATAGAAAAAAAAAATACTACCTGAATATTAACAAAAGAACATTGAAGTAGCTGTATTAATATGAGACAAAGTCCATTTCCAGGCAAGGAAAATTACCAGGAATAAGAAGAGACATTACAGGGGCACCTGGGTGGCTCAGTCGGTTAAGCATCTGACTTTGGCTCAGGTCATGATCTCACGGTTTGTGGGTTCAAGCTCCGCATCGGGCTCTATGAGCTCAGAGCCTGAAGCCTGTTTCAGATTCTGTGTCTCCCTCTCTCTCTGACCCTCCCCTGCTCAAACTGTTTTTCTCTCTCTCTCAGAAAGAAATAAAAACATTAAAAATTTTTTAAACAGAGGCGCCTGGG